GCATGCAGAAAAGTGGGTTAAGGGAGAAACATAAAAGGGATTTCACATGGAGGATATAATATGAATGGTTGATAACATAAGCAAAGATGTTCCTCTTTCCTAGTAATTAGGAAGTGGAAAAAAAATCACAAGATAGGTTTTATACCACCAGACTGGCAAAACTTGCAATATTTACTATGGGGACACTACCAAATATTGTCAAGAATATGAAGAAATGAAACTCTTCTTCTCTAAAGAATACGACTGTGGAAAAAAATAGGAATTTGTTAACGTAGTTGAAGATGCCTCTGTTCAATTGTCATGAGAGGGAGTCTGAGAAGGTCCCAGAGTGGGCACCGCAGATGGGTCCTTGACATATATTGCAGACAAGACTTTTCAAGATGTGTAGAGGCACAAGCAGTGATTTATTCAGGAAAGCAAGGAGTACACATTCAAGGGATTGTGAGTGACCTTGAGAGTGACATGCATTTTTAGGGTCTAAGGTTTTTTGTTGTTGTTGTTGTTGTTGAACCCAGGGGCACTTAACCACTGAGTCATATCCCTAGCCCTTTTTTATTTTTTTATTTTAGACAGGGTCTCACTGAGTTGCTTAGGGCCTCACTAAGTTGCTGAGGCTRACTTTGAACTTGCTATCCTCCTGCCTCCGCCTCCGAAGCTTCTGGGGTTAYAGGCATGCATGACCACACCAGGCATGGGCTCCTCTTTTTAAAGGAAACCTTGTGAAGGGTAAGCATGGGAACGTACTTGGAGATGACACCCTTCTGGTGATCATAAGATGGTTTATGGTAGTCTGGTGACTCTCAGGATATTTAAGTCAATGTCTCCTCTACCAGGTCAACAGGTAGGTAATATTTGGAATGTACCCTGTATTATAGATTTCTTAAAATACTGTATCTCTTTTTTTTTTCCACATCTTCATACACGTATTTTGTATAATGATGACCCTCTCCTTCCTGTATCTTTTTTTTGAGGTAGGATAGAAGACATAAAAATAGGTAGAAAGGAGACATGAGGGTCAATACAGGAGTAACCACTATTTAAACTCCAGATCTGACAGTTACTTTTACATATCTTGATCACAAACAGCACAATTAAATCAATCATTGGACTTTTCCACAGGTACACTAATGTAGCACTGTTTTCACAAAGCAGAACATGTAGAAAACAAAGAAGAAAATGACCCCCCTCCTACTAATAATCAACATATCAGTAAATGACCCCCATCCTGATAACATCATGTCAGGAAATGACCCCTTCTGTCCTGGTAATTGTCAATACACCCAGATACCAACACAAAGGAGAACGAGAAGCACACTCTTAGCTCTTGTCCCTTAATATTGATCTTATGTGTATAAATATGCTCAGCTGAGATGGAACTGGCCTGTTCCTCTCYGATGTCCACACTCTATCCTGTCTCTCAGAGTGTGCATGCCTTTCTTTCCCGCAATATATTTAATCTGTGCCTCACTTTGACCTGTCCTGAAGTTCCTCTGATGTTCTTGCGATGATGTCAGGGATACTCACACCCTGGGTTTGAGGTCCACCTCTCAGACTCAGGGTGTGAGTATTAAGACCTTTGTCCTGGTGAAAACTTAACTTGATCTATTTTAAAAACATGTGCTAGTACATTACATGGGCTGATTAACAGTGCACAGGGCAATTTTTATTAATGAGTGGAATTAAGTATCTTTAAGATTTGTAGATTTTTCAGACATTTGGGAGTAACAAGTCTGGGATAAAAAGTGATCTGGCAGTGAAGGGGGCTGGAATGAGAAATTTTAACACAGGATTCACAGATGAAAGTTACAGCTTCCTTTTGTCTCCTTTCTTACAACATTTCTTTTATCCTACCTCACGCTGATCCTGCAATTGCACTCAAATACAGACACAAGAACTGTCACAGCCGCACACCTGTAAAGCAAAATATAAATCTGGAACAAACTGTCCAAAGGAGATGGACATATAAATTGGGACATATTCATACAATAGGATATTCTACTGCTTAAGGAGCATGCATGCACATGTGCACACACACACACACTCACACACATACACAGGAATGATAAGCACCAAGTCTGGATAGTTAGTTTGGGGAGTGGGAGGAATATACACAGGAAACTGGATGAATATTGATTGTAAGCTGGACCTTGCTAACGTCACTTATGACTTGTTTTGAATTCTGTAGCCCTTAAATATTACATGATCTACATTTCAGGAGAAAATTTTAATATTGAAAAATAGAATGGAAGATGGAGTGATTGAATCCAGGAAGTTTCAGCATAAATCAACTTTTCTCAAGTGTGTTACAAAGCAAAACTAAAGTTGCCCACCTGGAGCCTCTGTAAAAGAAATTTCATTTGAATTTCTCTCTTCCCCTTTCTCATTGGCAAACCATGCTATCCAGCTTCAGGGCAACTGAGAACCTGCAATAAATGTTACAGTTTCTTCCTTTTTTTAATTAAAAAAAATTTAACTAGCATGTATTCATTGTACATATGAATGGTATTCAGCGTGATATTTCAATACAAATACAGCATGAGTTGATCAAATCCAGGTTCCTTCATCTACCTCATTCTCAACCCACTAGTTATTACTCTACATTCAAGTTGATTTATTTATTTTTTTTAATTCCACCTATGAGAGGGAACATGGTACTAGTTTTTGTGTGTCTGGTTTATTTCACTTAACATAATGTTGTTTTTTATTGCAGAGTTTACAATCCCCAAATCAGTTCTGTCTTCAAAAACCAAGCAATTCATTCTCCATGTATCAGAAAATGCACGTGACCATCCCTGAAAGTGTAATCAGATCCTTAAAGTCACTAGCAAAGTGTAATGTCAGTAAGGTCCAGTAAGAACCAGTCACTACGGGAGGGTTCACTGTCCTAACCTYACAAACTTTGTGGCATCTACTTTAAATGGAATAGGTGTACATGCCAGTCCTCACATCCCAGAAACAAGATAGGACACAAGTGCATATATTCAGGAGGTACAAATGGAAAAGGAGCATAAATAAAGAGATTCGGAAATAATCTGCAACACTGCTCATGGCAATAGTTCTGTCACTAGAGAAAAAAATATCACTGGAAGAGAGTCCCAAGGGAGTTCCTCAAGAGTGGAAAACTCGACTCAGGACAAGCAGGGTCCTTGACATACAACAGAAAAAAATTTCAGCACATGTTGGCAGAGACAGAAGACTTTTGTTTTTGTTTGTTTGTTGGTTTAAAGCAAAGAATAGACATTCAAAGGAGAATGTGGGACATCTGGAGATTTGAGAGGCACGTTTTTTGTCTTCCTGACTCTTCTTTTAAAGGACACTCCACAAGGGGTAATATGGGAAGGTATAAGAGGATGACATTAGTCTAGTGATCTTAAGACATTTTCTGGTCTTCTGCACATTCTGAGGAGCCTTAGTTTTAAATGGGGTCTCCATGATCCAATCCAGTAAATAATATTTGAAAGTCCCCTAAATTGCAGTTTTTTTTTTTTTTTAAATATGCCTGTATGTCTCTTTAACAGTACATGAGATAGAGTTTCAGATTTCCCAGATATCTGAGAGTGACAGTCCTGAGAAAGTGAATGATTTGGGGAATGGCAGGCCTGGAAAATGTTAAAATGATATTTTCTTTATGTCTCCTTTCTATCTAATTTTATTTCTTCTATCCTGCCTCAGTTCTCTATGCGAATCACATTATTTATAGCCACATCTTTGTTTTGCTTAGGGTRAAGACAAACCCTGAAGAGTGTATATGTACAGACAAGGCTCATTCAATGCTGATGTTAGGGGAAAACAATAAAGATATTCATTTAGAGCTTAACAAAGAAGTTCTCTAAGTGTGGGAGACTTAGGAGACTCCCAGAGACCCTTTAAAGAGATCTGTGAAATCAAAACTCTTTTCATAACCCTAGTAAGACTTCATTTGGCTTTTTAAATTCTCACTAGTGTAAGGTGGCCCTTTTCATAGATGACATGATATATTATACCATGAGACTGGATACAGAAGCAGATGGGAGGATCCACCTAATCTTCTATTAAGCCAGATACTCGAAACATTTATAAGCATGCAGAGCAATCACACTCTTCTCAATAAGTTTGTTTTTGATAGTATAGTCATTTTCATAAAATGCATGTATTTATTTCAACATGCAATAGGGTCATTATTTAAAATTAACGAGAAAGTAAGTATTTCAGAGTTTTTCTTTATGATTTCAAGTATAGTAATATTGGCAGGCATAACCCACACAAGCAAATGCTTTGAAATTCTCAATATTTTCTATGTGTAGATGCTTTGCTGTTAATGCAATTACTGCATTCTTTCTGCTCCCATGGTTGCTCTTTTATTTCGTCCTCATTCTCTTTAATCCCACAAAGACCACTAGAAATAGCTTTGCCTATGAATCCATTGAATGGAAATTACAATTTAAGTTTTTCTCTTTCAGGGCCCATGGGATGACTTGGGAGTGACTCCTGATGGCCAAGCTAACAGGTCCCTGTTGACATGATCTATTGAGAACTTTTTAGGCAGAAGTCTTCAGACTCAAGGGTATGGAGGATTACTATGCCATGCCTGCTTCACAGAAGTTAAAGGGCGTGACTCAGGCGGATTAAGAACATTCCTTAGAAGCCATTGGGTGGCTTCCAATTGCTTCCATATAGGCCAACCTGGGCGTGTTAATAACTGCTCACATGGGATTTGAGAGAATGAATAGTTCATTTATGGAGACGATTTGGAAGATTTAGGTAGACATTCCTAGTGAGGAAGAACTCGCTGTCTGCTGGGTCATCAGGCAAAAGGATTTTTAACCCACTTCCCCTTCCTTTCTGCCCTCCACTGGGGAAGATAGGCCTACCCCTCCCACGGAGGACAGGATGTGCCAAGGAATTAAAACGCCTTGACKGGCTTCGGGACCTGTTTTCTCTCTTCTGGGACCTGCTCCCTCGGATTTCGCAGGCAGGTAGACTGGCCCGGCCAGGCCGGTGGGAAAGGTGTGCAGTGACAGATGACCCAAAAATGTGCACGACTGGGAGGCCAGAGATCAGGACTCCCGGGGCGCTCCCCGACTGGCGGGGCGACCTTGGGGAGGCGACCCGGGGCCTGGCGAGGGGTCGAGCCTGCGTTACCCCTCAGGTCTGGTGGCGGTGTCGCTCMGAGTCCCTCCATCCTTTCCTGCTGGCCCTGGCCAGATTCGCCTGCGCTGGCTTCTGCGGAGGAGCCCGGGTTTGGGGTTTGGCTTCAGAGCCCCTGGCCGCCCAGGGGAGGCTCCCGGGGGCCACCTGGGGACCCGGGGAGAGGCCGGGCGCGCGAGACGCCGACCCTGCCTGGCTGCCGGGTGGCAGAAAGGGACGCCACCAGGGAGCCTCTCCCCGCGCTCCCGCACTCTGGAGCTCGGACACTGGGAGTAAGAAGGGGCAGGGAAGGGGCCAGTTTGGGAGAAAGGTGGCGAGCTCCAGGTGAAGTGGCCCGGGTCGGGGTCTCTGGGATTCCCAGGGCTCTGGAGCCCGAGAGGGGTTTGGGGGCGCGGGCGCCCGCGCGGTGCCTTGTCCCCAGCGGCTTCTCCCTTCCCCGCAGCCCAAAATGAGGACGCCGTCCTGGCTGCTCTGCGCAGTGTCCATCGCTCTTCCACTTTTTGTCCGAGCAGGTACGTTCCGAGTCCTCGGGCCTCAGAGGATGCCCACCAGGGTAGCCAGGCCCCGCTAGCCCCCCTGGGCAGACCTCCTGGGGTCTGAGCCTGGTGAATTACTYCGTCCCTAGAAGGCCCTTCAGAACTCCACAGAATGGGGAAATGGCCAAGTTACCCAATGCTCAGCCCCCAGGAGCTTCCAGGTTATCCTGGGGATGGGAAGAAGCTAGATAAATATGCCAGTCAAGATCTGGGTGAAAGTGCTTAAATGGAGGTAGCACTGTCTACTTACAGGTCAAAGGGCTATTTTATGATCCAGGATTAAAAACAAAGGACACGTCAACAAAGCAAATTTCTAAGAAAATCTAAGTAGCTTGGTAAACAAAAACAAAAACAACCCATTTTGGGGGTGGGATGCCTTTTACTGAAGATGTAGTAATKAGGTGGCAGAGTAAAAAGAAAACAGGACCAAGTGAGTTCCCTTACAATGAGGAGGAGGACAGGAAATTAAGTCTAAGAAGGGAAAGAAGGAAATCATTCCAAATAGGAGAGGGCTTTGTGAAGAAGGAATCCAGGATGGATAGGTTTGATGAACTTGGAATCATGTTTTCCAATCAGTAGGCTATTGATGKTTTTTTTTTTTTTTTTTTTTTTTAGAAAACTCTCAGATAAAATTTCAAGTTGACTAGAAAACTGAAGAGGTGTTCATTAACACTAATAATCAGCACGACTCTTGTGTGTCCCCCCACCCCTTCCCGGCTAATTCTTCTTGCTTTTTTCCTTTCTTTTCCTAGATGCTTGCAAGGACAGGGATATGCATCATGAGGCAACATCAGCAGACCAGCCCTTTGCCTTCAATTGTACCAACCCTCCACTCACATATGGGGAAGTAAATGTAGTGTGGTATGATGCCGCTAGCAAAGCTCCCATTTCCAAAGACAATCAGTCTAGAGTTCACCAGGAACACACCTGGATTTTGATTCTTCCCCTGAAACTGGAGGACTCGGGCATCTACCTATGTGTTATAAAGTAAGTTCCTCTTTTAAAGTGGAACTAATTCATATGAATCTTTCTCTTTATGTGTGCATATATATCTCTTAAGAAAATTTTAATAAACATAGAAAATGCAATCAGAGAAATAATATTGTATAGCTTTATGGTTGTTATACAATGATTTCCAATGAACACGTTTTAAAATACGATAGATTTGTAAACCATTATTAGAACATGAAATGCTTTTTTTCCTATTGAAATGATGCCTCAGGCCAGACCAACTTACAAAGTGTGTTTATTAGTACAATATTAGTGTAATATTATTGTTGCCATCTTTCTTGGAATGCCAAAAGTTTTTGTGACAAGCGGCACACCCGGATAAGGATAGACCTCTTTCGAGCTCTTTTCATAAAGGATCTGTTTAAGGTGGGGATTTAAAAGTCAGTAAGCATTAAGTATTTTCCAAACCCACACAAGGTGCTGTGCTAGGAAATAAATTGATAAGGGACACAGGTCTGGTGGGACTTTTGAATTGTTTCCTATTTTTGGACACTGAGCCTAGAAAGGCCTGTGATCAACTAGAAAGGGCATATGCTACCAAAGGTAGCTGTCTATTTGAGATCTGAGTGTGTGTGTGTGTGTGTGTGTGTGTGTGTGTGTGTGTCTGTGTGTGACTTTTCAATTTGTAAAGCTCTGTGAGATGTGAAGGAAATCCATTTGTGGACCACATTTGATCAAAGGGTCATCATTCTGTGATTCACTCTGACTAACTTGTATGATAGTAATACATTATTCGATCTTTCTGAAACTTGGATGTCTTTTCTGTAAAATGGAAGAGATACTGGCTTGGCAGAGGTGAAGTGGAAATCAACTGAACTCCTGAGTGAAGTCTATGCTCCATTCTCCCTCTGTTTTGTTCTGTAGCATTTGCTGACACCTTTCTGGGTCTCAGGATTACCCATGACCCACTAGAGTCATGCCAGATTCCTTGTTTCCGTATATCAGACGGACAGACTCAGTGTACAGAACCGCTGACTGAGTGGTGTACAGTGGAAGTGGTCAGTCACTGCCTGGCGCCTTTCCCCAGTGCTAGCCACTAGGGGTCTGCTGCTGAGGTCTCATGGAACTCTGCTCTCCTGCTCTGGTCTAGGCTGTGACTTATAACTGCAGTTGGAGATTATGTGCCACACAAATTACTAGGGATATTGGAGCCAGATTTAAAACATTTAAATCTGGAAGTCATGAAATGAAGAAAAATCATCTTTTACAGAAATTAAACAAAGATACTATTTGTCGTGGAAAAGAATAAACATGAATTTTCCCAGATCTGTAATATCCATATATAATATGGATATATTTTTACTTTTTACCTTGAAATGATTTCAAAGTTACATAAAACTGCAAAATAATATAGAGAAATCCTATCTACCCTTCCTCAAGAGTTCTATTTGTATAAGAATATTTTCCTTATAATTTTCTGTCTCCACATAATATCTGTGTATGTGTATATTACACACAATATTTTTTCTAAACCATTTCAGTTGTACATAGCATACCCCTTTTGCTGCATAATATTTAAATGTCTATTTCTTAACCACAAGGATATATCCCCTCACATAATCATAGCGTAGTTACCAAATTCAGAAAATGTAACCATACATACTTCAACTTGTTGTTTCTAGTCTCATTAGGGGCCCTATCAGTGAACTGTACAACTTTTCCCTTTCTTTCCAGAAAAGAATTCAGTCCAAGACCATGGAATGCATTTGATTGCATAAACCTTTCATCTCTTAATCTGAAGGAGTTCCTCTATTTTTCATGACTCTGATATTTTTAAGGAGCACAGGGAATTAGTTTATCATATCTCCTTCCTTTGGGTTTAGGTTTGGGCGTGTTTCTTTGTCTGGGATGCTGGGTAAGTGCTCTGTGTTCTCTGCGGAGAAACGCATGGTGTCCATTTTGCCCCTCCGAGGCTGAGTTCAATTTGATCTCTTCCTTAAGATGTTGTCCAGTTTCTCTACTGTATACATGTCATCTGTTGTTGGGTCATCAATGTTTTGTAGGCTGCAAACTGTTTCTTTTAAGAAAGGATTGGTCTGGTGCCTTGAAAATGACATGAAAAATGAGAAGATGACCGAATCATTTGATTTTGTGGTTGCTTAAGACTGTGGGTTTCAACCTGCTGTTTTCTTACAGGAATGCCAACAACTGTGTCAGAATATGGATGAACCTAACTGTTTTTGAAAAACATTGGTGTGACAATTCCAGAAGGAGTCTACCCAATTTATCAGATGACTACCAACAAATATTACGTACGGGACCCAGTGACAGTCTGACCTGTCATCTGTACTTTCCAGAGACTTGTGTTTTGGGTCCAATAATGTGGTATAAGGTAAAAAAAAAAAAAAAATCCTAATGATATTTTTTCCTCCTTTAAAAAAATCCATTTGATTCTTCTAGATGAAGTTGGTTCTTTTAAGGCAGATTGGGAAAAGAGATTCATGTGCCTAAGATAGATCTGTTAGTCTTAGCGATCGATATTCTTACTTTGCTAATTAGGTAGTATTTAAACTTTCTGGTTATGACTTTGTAATGTCTTATTATTTGTATCATCCATATCCCTGCAATTATCCATATTTTTCAGGGTATCATTTTTCCCCCTAACACTAATTTCTTCAAATGGTTGCTGGATGAAAGTGGGTCAAAGATTACAGATTATACAGGGACCCCTGGGAATGCCTTTTCCCACTCCTCCTCCCGCACCCTCACGTAAGGCCACCCAGACACACACCTGGGTATAGTCCCGCGCTTCCATGTTTACGCAGACAGAGCCTGCTGTGCTCATCCTTCTGCAGCTCATRTTTTACCTCTTTTCATGACTGTACTGGCACCTGCCCACTTGGAAGGCAATCCTTGGCTTGGAGGAGCACAGGCTGGTTATTTTAGTTTGGAATTACTTTTTCCTAACTTCTTGGTTGTACTTACCAGTACTGGACGGTGCGTTTCCTTAATGGGAGGGTTTTCGTCTCACGATTCTTTTTTTTTTTTTTTAGTGGTAAGATTGAGTCAGTTTCAGGAAGATTTTTGTTTTTCATAAGAAAATGTTCATTTTGTTCATGATTTTATACATATTGGAACATTGTTTTTCATCTCTTTCCATGTCTGCTTCTGCACTGAGTTCAACTTTAGTTCTTGTTTCTCTTCTCTCTCTCTCTCTCTCTCTCTCTCTCTCACACACACACACACACACACACACACACACACACAAATATAAGTATTGCATTTAATTTCACAAGAGACTTGTGAGTTCAGTCTTTTCAAAAAGCTACCTTTTGCTTTTGTTGATAGTCTTTATTAAATTTCTAATGTTCATTTAGGTTGTTTCTTTTTTCCTCTTTATTGAGAAATGTGGATATGAATATCTTCGTATGGTCCTCTAGTGGACTTTGATAGCATGAGTTTTTCGGGGTACATGATCACCAGCTCCAGAGAGACATATGAGTGAAATGTTCTACTTTAATGATGTCAAATTACTCTACAAAGTTTTACATCAGTTTATATACTCACCAGGATTCCCTACAACCTCATGTAGGACTTTGTATTATAAACTTCAATTTTCTACAAAACAAATGAGTATAAAATATCTTCTTATTGTTGTTTTGGTTTGCATTTTCTTAGTTATTAGTGAGATCGACAACTTTTTTCATGTTTAATTACCATTTCTGAATTCCTGCTTCTTGGTGACTTATAGGATATTTGAGATATTTCTGCATCTTGGGTACCCGTGTTTGGCATGCTAGCCTTCGAATACTGTGCTTCCCTGTTTCCAAAGATCGACTTTCCTCTGACTTAACACCTTTACAGATTGTATTTGCCAGTGTTTGAATTTTATTTAATCTGAATCACATTATGTATAGTGTTTTGTGTACAGTTCCTGTAAACTTATTGTAAACTTGTGAGAATCAACCAGGTTGTTGCATGTTCCTCTAGCTTATGTATTTTCATTGCTGTGTAGTATTTCATCATTATTATTATTGAATTTTGTAGTTATTTCCAATTTTTGGATATGAGAAATAAGGCTGATATAAACATTCATATGTATATATACATATATATGTATTTTTTGGTTCACTTATGCATGCAATTTTCTGAAACATTTTGCATAAGTGATACTTCAGAGAATGTGTAATCAAAGTGCCAAACCATTTTTTCAAATTGGTGTGGCAATTTGCAGTTCCAACAGCAGTGTATAAGAGTTATTTTTGACTGGACACGGTGGCACATACCTGTAGTCCCAGCAGTTTGGAAGGCTGAGGAGGAGGATAGCGATTTCAAAGCCAGCTTCAGCAAAAGTGGGGCACTAAGAAACTCAATGAAAACCTGTCTCTAAATAAAACATGAAATAGGGCTGGGTTGTGGCTCAGTGGTCAAGTGCCCCTGAGTTCAACCCCTGGTACCAAAAAAAAAAAAAAAAAGAGTTACTTTTTTTTCCCTGACAACACATCGTGGTAATAGCCCCTCCCCCTTTTTTTTGCATGTGTGCATGTGTGTGTGTGTGTGTGTGTTGCTGAGGGTGGAACCCTCAGACTTGTGCGTGCAAAGAAAGAACTCTACTACTGTGCTATACCTAGAGCCCTAGTCTTTTATCTTCAATTAACATTTCCCTGATAAGTGATGTTTATTTCTTTAAGTTTGCTTATTGGCTCTTAGATATGACTGGTCTGTGTATGTGTGTTTGTGTGTAATTTTTTTTTCTGTGATGCGCTTGTGGAAGTCTCTTGTCTACTTTTCTGCTTGGTTGTCCTGTCCAGAGGTTCTCAAACGTCTTCTGTTTAGAGACAGAATAGTAAATATTTTGGGCATTGCAGGTCAGATAATCTATTTCAACCACTCAACTCTTGTTTGGTAGCAGGAGAGCAGTTGTAGATCACTAGGAAATGCATGGGTGTGGTTGTGTTCAAGAACATTTTACTTAAAAAAAAAAAAACAAAAACAGGCAGGGGGCTGAACTTGGTCCATGGGTAGTTTGCTGGCCTCTTGTCTGTTTTGTGCTATTTTGTAGAGTTTCTTCTACATCTGGGTACCAGTAATGGTTAGTTTTATATGCTCGTTATAGAAATCCTTCTAGTTGGTGACTTTCCTTTTTGTTTTCATGAGTTCCCACACTTCCTAATTTTAATGTAGTTTAGTTTATTAATTTKTCCTTTGTAATCAGAGCTTTCTGTGACTTATTGAAGAATATTTTTATATCCCAAAGAAACAAGATATTTTCTATTATCTTCTTAAAATTTCATTTTTTTCCATTAAATTTTAAGGGTTAAATTTAATTTTTCCAAGTGGATTTATAGTTCACCTGCCCTTTCTACCTTGCTTGGCACACCTTTGCTGACTTAAATCTGATTGCTRTCTGCATGTGGGTATGGTTGGGAACTCTCTGCAGTGTTCTGTATGCATTGTTCTGTTTATTCTTGTTAGTTGTTGTGACATTGGGCAAGTCTTATGAGTTTTAAGTCCTCTAAACTTTTCTTTTTCCCTAAATATTACTTTGGCTATTCTTATTCCACTTATATACAATTTTATAATCTACTTGCTAATTTTCACAAAAAAGTTTTGGAATCTTGATTGTAATTTCAYTGAATTTATAGTTCAGATTTGAGATGTGGTAAAGTTTCCTTTCTCATGTTGTCCTTCTCCTTTTGGGTTGTCTTATCTTTTGTAGTTCTTCAAATTTTTATAAAAATTTTCGAATGAGTGTTTGGAATTTCACAAAAAAAMCCAATATCTGAGTTTTAATTGTGATTGAAGTGTAAGTAAATTTAGCATAGATTGATATCTTTACAATTTTGAGTCTTCTAAATGATAAACATGGCATAATCCCTCCTTTTGATTTTCCTAAATGTAATTTTTCATAGGATGGATTTATAATTTTCTATGTAGACGTTTGACATTTATTTTGTTAGCTTTATTTCTGGCAACTTGTTGTTTTTTATTATGGATTTGTGTTATTATCATCTGTTTATTGCTCTAAAGTAGAAACACAATTTATTTTTGTACATTGTCCTTATATCTAGCAACCTTGGTAAATTCATTCATTTATRTTAATAATAGATCTGCAGATTCTTTTGGATTTCCTACACATTCAGTCATGTTTTCAGATTAGTGACAATTCACTTTTCATTCTCCCACCCTTCCATTCTTCATTCCTTTTTTTCATTGCAACTTCTATGTCTTTTCCTTTATTTTATTAGCCAGGATCTCTGAACACTTTGGAAGTTATTCCATTCCAGGGTTATTACTTTGTTCTAGTAGATTATAGACATTTGACATTTATTTTGTTAGCTCTCCAAAAATGGCAACTGTAGCATATTTATATCTTTATACTGGAGGAAAATTTCCCCATTAACTGATGTTTAAGATACTAACAAATGTCTTTTATGAGATGAGGGAACTTTCCCTAGTTTACTTGGATTTTTATTAGTTATTGGTGCCAAATTTTATAAAACACCTTTTTACTTTTTGTATGATTTTTTTTTTGTTCTGCTAATGTGTTGAATAACAAGGCTGGATTTTGAATGTTGTATCAATTTTGCCTTAGTGTATATAACTCAGAATGGTGTGTAATTCTTTTTATACACTTCCAGGTTTGGTTTGCTAATATTTGTTCAGGATTTTTGCATCTATATTGTAAGTGATACTGGTCCATAACTTTGGTTTCTTKTTAAGTCCTTGTCAGATTTTGATATGAAAGATTTTCTGGTATTATGAAATAAGTAGAATTGAGGCTTATGTTTCTTTTTTATAGAAATTCTTAAGATRGGTTTAATTTCTTTTTTTAATTTTTAAATTRTTTTTTAATTTATATATGACAGTGGAATGCATTACAATTCTTACTACACATATAGAGAACAATTTTTCATATCTCTGATTGTATACAAAGTATATTCACACCAATTCCTGTCTTCATACCTATACTTTGGGTAATAGTGTCCATCACATTCCACCATCATTTCTAACCCCATGCCCCCCTCTTCCCCTCCCACTCCTCAGCCCTATCTAGAGTTCATCTATTCCTCCCATGCTCCCTCTCCTTATCCCACTATGAATCAGCCTCCTTATATCAGAGAAAACATTCAGCATTTGGTTATTTGGGATTGGCTAACTTCACTTAGCATTATCTTCTCTAACTCCATCCACTTACCTGCAAATGCCATGATTTTATTTTCTTTTATTGCTGAGTAATATTCCATTGTGTATATATGCCACATTTTTTTTTATCCATTCATCTACTGAAGAGCATTTAGGTTGGTTCCACAGTTGAACTATTGTGAATTGTGCTGCTATAAACATAGATGTGGCTGTGTTCCTGTACTATGCAGTTTGTAAGTCCTTTGGGTATAGACCAAGGAGAGGGACAGCTGGGTCAAATGGTGGTTCCATCCCAATTTTCCAAGGAATCTCCATACTGCTTTCCATATTGATTGCACCAATTTGCAGTCCCACCAGCAATGTATGAGTGTACCTTTTCCCCCACATCCTTGCCAACACTTATTGTTGTTTGTATTCATAAGTGCTGCCATTCTGACTGGAGTGAGATGGTATCTTAGAGTGGTTTTGATTTGCATTTCTCAAATTGCTAGCGATGATGAATATTTGCTCATGTATTTGTTTCTTGATTGTACATCATCTTCTCAGAAGTGTCTGTTCAGGTCCTTGGCCCATTTATTGATGGGGTTATTTGTTTTTTGGGTGTTTARCTTTTTGAGTTCTTTATATACCCTAGAGATTAGTGCTCTGTCTGATGTGTGAGGGGTAAAGATTTGCTCCCAAGATTCAGACCCTCTATTCACCTCACAGATTGTTTCTTTTGCTGAGAAGAAACGTTTTATTTTGAGTCCATCCCATTTATTTATTTATTTATTTAAAGAGAGAGAGAGAGGGGGAGAGAGAATTTTTTAATATTTATTTTTTAGTTTTCGGTGGACACAACATCTTTTTTTTTTTTTTTAWTGTGGTGCTGAGGATCAAACCCAGTGCCCCGCGCTTGCCAGGTGAGCACGTTACTGCTTGAGCATGCACATCCCCAGGCCCCCATCCCATTTATTGATTCTTGATTTTAATTCTTGTGCCAAAGGAGTCTTATTAAGGAACTTGGGGCCGAATCCCACACAATGGAGATTTGGGTCTACTTTTTTTTCTATTAGAMGCAGGGTCTCTGGTTTTATTCCTAAGTCCTTGATCCACTTTGAGTTGAGTTTTGTGCATGGTGAGAGATAGGGGTTTAATTTCATTTTGTTGCATATGCATTTCCAGTTTTCCCAGCACCATTTGTTGAAGAGGCTAYCTTGTCTCCAATGCATGTTTTTGGCATCTTTGTCTAATATAAGATAATTGTAATTTTGTGGGTTAGTCTCTGTGTCCTCTATTCTGTACCATTGGTTTACCAGTCTGTTTTGATGCCAGTAAGATTGGTTTCATTTCTTTAGAATGTGCTTTTAGAGTTTATCAGTGAAGCCAGTTGGAATTGAAACTTTCTTTGATGGAACGTTTCCAGCTATTTAACGTCTTTACCAGTCAAACAACTGTTCATATTTACTTTTTCTTATAACAGATTTAGTATGATGTACTTGTGCAGACATTTGTGCTTCATCTATTAATTTTAAAATTATTAAGATAATACTGCTAAAATACGCTCTTAATGTCTATATAAGGTTTGTAGGATTTTTCTTATTTTCTTTTTCATGCCTAATATTGTATATTTCCATTTTTCCTACTACTTTTTTGTTGATTACTCTTGGCAGGAACTTATCSATTTTTATCAGTGTTTTTATAGTGCAATTTTTAGGTTTTGTTAATTCTCTCATTGGTTTGTTCTCTGATTTATTAATTCCTGTTCTCATCTAGTTTTTCCCCTCTGATATTTGCTTCTAATTTAAATTTTTTTATCAACTTCCTGAGATAGATTCTCCTATCATTCTTTTATCATAAGCCTTTCTCATTTTCTAATATACACATTTGAAGTTGGAATTTCACTTTGAACCAAGTTTTAGATGCATTCTACATGTTTTGATGTATCTGCTCTGTGTTAGGATGGGTGCTATGAACTTTGCGTGCTCTGTCATATTTTCCTTCGCATTTAAGACAGTTCTGTTCCCTCAGAAGGCGCTGACTGCCAGCCACAGTGTCCTCAGCCTCAGTTGGCTTTGATTTCAGTATCACCTATTTTTCAAAGACAGCTTCTGAGGATGTTGTTCACACATTCCTCTGTGCGGCGCTTTAGACTGCACCTCAGGCTTCCTGTGGTACACCTGCGACCTTGAAACCATCACCTCCTGGCCCCGGAAGAATGAGTTATAGTCGTGACAAAAGGACCCTCCTGGCAATTCTTTTCTCCTGACTTGTGACCTAGAGAGGTGAAAGCACTTGATATTGGTAGACAGTAGATATGTMAGAGTCACCTCTGTCACTAACTTGGTGGTGTCAAGTCCCCGGTATGCTGAGTCTTAGTTTCCGCACTTGAAAGGCAAAGTTTATTCTATGTTATTTCAGAGGGCTTGCGAGTGCACAAGCATATCATCTTGAAGACAAAATCTATTCTATTCCAGTGTGATTAGTCTTTGATAGTCATTAGCAATGTAGGAATGCTTGAATCATTTATTATCATCTGATCTAAATTTCCATAGAACTTGGAGATGGAGTCAGAGCTGTGATTAACAGTCTCAAGTAGGCATCCAATTTTATCTATGGACCTTTAAAAAAATCGGATGCTTGCCCTTATTCTCCACTCTATGAGAGCATCTATGGAGGTTCAGATTCTTCATTTTAAAAAATACCTATGGGCTTAAGAGGTAGGAGGGCATAGAAGACATGCAGTATRAGAGGAAAGGCTCATTCTGAAACTGCCTCACCTGCTAGACTCAGTGACCCTAGTTACGCCTTTGTTTTGACCACTAACTAATTGGGCTCCTGCATCCTTCCTAGTTTTATCTCCATCAGTCTTTTATACCCATTGTRTCTTAGCCAGAATGCTCTGGGCTATTTTGTGTCTCTGAAACATTGTACATGCCAGGTTAGGGGTGTTCATCTTGGTACCTGGAATATATAAGACATTCAAATATTGGCTCTCTTTTTATTCATATTTTAATCATAAATCTTGATAGTGAAACATCACTCTCAAAATTTAAAATAAAGATGAAGCCTTGCAGAGAATTTACACTCTGAAATAATTTTCCATTGGATCAGAACAGGGCATTCCACTTCACTCTAAAGGGAAAGACTCACCCTCAATTAGTAAGGCCAATAATTAATATTTTCAAATATTTGCATATTTTGAAAGGAAGAACAAGACAATCAGGAGGAAGACTGTTCAACAATGGAAGCATATAGGAAGAGACAGCCAGAGATCGTGCCTAGCCAGGGACTGTCAAGTGAAGACTACCCAGGGAAGAGATTTCTGAAGTCTGAGGACTCAAAATTTGTGTTTGTTTGTGTCCTGAAGAATGAGACATCATATCATCAGGGTCTGATGCCTTCCATCTGACTCTTAATACTAATTCCCTTTCTATGTGGTGAGCAGTTGTCGGCGTGATAGTTTGGTTTCCCAGGTGGGGTGCTGATGGGGAAATAATATAATACTTCTGGGAAGTCATAATGGATAGTGCAAATCAACAGATATCCACTCTGGCATTATGTAGTGGGTTTCACCATGCAGGGTGGATTTACTCACATTGTTCCTGGATAGGGAATGAGGTATGACTCTGAACCGTGGCTGACCAAATGAAGAGAGAGCTCCCACAATTAAAACATTTTAAATAAATTTTTATTAAAATAGATGTTTATATGCCTTCTTCATCTAAGAGACCGTGAGCTCCCTGAGGACAGAGACGACACCTGAATCCCAAGTGACCAAGGCCTCACACAGTGCTGATAAAGAGCAGGAACTCAAATGTTTGACTGAATAATTGGACTCAATTAGCCAATCAGTCATTCTGGAGTGGAGCTTCATGAGGGGGAACAGGTTTGAGAAAGACTGCAGAATTGGCCCCAAGAGAGAAAGGTGTGGTGACCAGCGCGAGAATGCGAGCTTCTGATAGGACAAGTGAATGGTGAGGCTTGCCCTCTGGGTGGTTGCCACGGGTGACTTAGAGGGAAAGGCATTCCTGAGACAATTGGCTTCAGGTTGGTGGAGTTTGGTGGCGGCCTGGCTGACATGAGAAGTCATGTGATAGCTATTCTCTGTGGATTGGGAAGTGTTCTTTTACCACTGTTTACACCTCCAAACATGATTTTTTTTTGTGAAGCGTTATTTTGGATTTTGTAAAATAAAACCCCAATAAGTAGAGAAGGTATAATTGGGCCTGCAACATGGTAGAAACAGCCACTGTTCACCTAGACTGACAGTCTTACAATCCCCCTGGGCTTTGTAAAGCCCAGGGGCTTCCTACCATTAGATGAGTTTCCACTTGGAGAAATGGGCCTTGCCATGGAGGACATTCCTAACTGTTCCTGTTCTTCTGTTACAATCCTTTATGACCTGGTCCCAGTCTTCCTCCATGAAGTCTTCTCTCTAGCCTACACAAGTCCTTGCCCTCTCAACTCTTCTTGGTYTTACTGTTTGTGTCACTCATTTTAGCCTAGGAAATACTTTGTCAAATCTTCTGGAGATAGAYGGAGATGGACAGATACAAATATACAGATTACGGATTATGTCACACACACGACATGCATCCACAGACGAATTCCACCAAGGAATTCCTGCTCTGTCTATCCATCTGTCTATCACTTATTCTTTTCTCTCTATCCATCCATCCATTCGTCTACTTATCATCTCCATCCATTCTTTCTATCTCTCTATCTACCCATCATCTATCATCTGTTGGTCTTTCAGTTAGATTGTAAATGACCTAAGGTTTAGGGTTCACATAGATTTCTTATCTTCCCACAGTTCTGAGGACGGGGCTAATTAGGAGTGTAACTGGTACCCCCAAATGCTAACTGGAATTTATTTATTTATTTTATTTAGGATTGTAAAGAGATCACAGAGACACGGTTTGTTCCTGTGGAAATGAAGCTCGTTGTGTACGATGTCTCTGCAGAAGACAGCGGGAGCTATGCGTGCGCAGCCCAGCTGACCCATGCCGGGAGAGCATACAGGGTTCTGAACAGCATCAACGTGAGCATCGGTAAGTACGCTCACACCTGTTGCCTGGTCTTCCTCACACGAAGCTGAGCCGGTTGGCTTCAGGCTTTGGGCAGAATCGATCTGGATTTTTATTTTCTTGAAGATTAATAGGCTTTGAAATATGCCACTGATAGATCAGAGGGTAGAAAGAGTGAGGCAAAAGGGCATGAGCAACTTAGTTCTCCCCATCTGTCGAAAACAAAAATCAAAGCAAAACCAGATATTCAAAATTTTGGGTTGATTTGGGAAAATGAAATGAGATCAGGTATATAGGGTGGCTGTTGGGGTGCCTGACAAAGTGTAGGTATCGAGGGCATCGTGGGTATTACTGATTGGACCCTGATTTCCCTCTGCCTTCACTGTTGGGAGCGATTTGTGGGCCCCTCCAGCACTGGCCTTCTCTGTCTTGGGCTCTGTAAGGTTCAGTGTTTCCGGCCATAGTTCTAGAATAACCTGTTGTTCATGAGATTTCATTTCTTGACCCAGAACAGCCAGTTTCGTGGACCATATGCCCTGGAGATTTGAAAAGTAGAATCTTCAAAGAAATCCTCAAAATAATTTGGCTCAGACCATGAATTTTATGGGGGCTGAGGACAGAAGCAACTCATCAAATTCACAAAGCTGACTCAGGTCAGAGATAGGACTGAAGCCCTGGCCTTCATTGTCCAAGCAGACCCGKTTCCTTCTCCACACACCGGGCAAAGATTTCTTCTTGTCACTTTTTGCTCATTCTTCAGTAGAGAGTTACTTTCTGTATTTACTCGTCTAGAAGGAAAAGGATGAAAGGCTGGATATTTCTTTGACTTGGACCTTCATGTTGGTCAYGGATTTCTAGTTCTGGGGGATACCTAGCCAGTCCTTGATGGTGTTGTTCCCTAGAGGGTCCTTTGAGCAGAGGTGTCTCCCTGCCACCCCTCTGGAGGGCTCCAGGTCAATCCAGGATGGTCCCTTGGTTCCCGGAGTCCAGTGGTGCCCTGCCTTCCAGCCCCTTCTTCCTCCTGCGTCCCCCGGTTCTCTTTGCTGAAATCACGCATGTCATTCGATGTTTTGGGGTGGCTTCCATTTTGACTTCCTTCACTGAGGGCCACTTAATTAAGAAAGCAAAAATGGAGCTAGATTTCATGATTTTCGTGCTCTTGGGTTTCCTGTGGCTGGGAATTTCTCTGTCCTCATCTTGTTCCCAGCTGAATCCCAGCACCAAGCTCAGTGTCTGGCCTTGTCAAAGCACAGGTCTGTTTATTAACCAAATGACTAGCCGATTACCAAAATGCTTCAATTTTGCATGAGTAAATGGGAAACTTTTTCAGAAGGTTGAAATTTATAAAGGGGGAAAAAAAAAAGAATACCTCGAGAGATCACGGGGTCCAAGAGTCGATAGTTCCTGCCAGTTCCATCAACGTGTGTGATCTGTCATATGCCCAGAATTTCATTACACCCTGACAATTTAACACTTTAAGAACATCATTCCTTCTGTTGAGAAACTGCAGCCTGGTGGCAGTGAATTTGAAGATATAAATGAGTTATTTTTAACATTATATGCTAAGRCTCACCTTTTTCATGGTGTCAAGGGACACAGAAAAGAACAGAAGGAGCTACAAGGTGGCAAGCAATTGGCCTAGGGAGGCTCTTCAGAGGAATTAGCTTTCAGTCAATTTTTCCCCAGTTTTTAAGATTTGTTCTTTTTACTCACACATGACAGTAGAATGTATTTTAGCATCTCATACATACCTGGAGTATAACTTCCCATTCTTGTGGTTGTACATGATGTGGAGTTATACTTAGGTCATGTATTCAGATATATGAATGCAGGCAAGTTATGTCCARTTCATTCTACTGTCTTTCCTATACCCATCTCCTCTCCCTTCCCCCCATTTTTTCCCTGTCCAATCTGGTGAACCCTCATTCATACCCTCCCCTCCCCTGACCCCACCTATTTTGAGTCAGTATCCACATTTCAGAGAGAAAACATTTGGCCTTTGGTTTGGGGGGATTGGCTTATTTCATTTAGCATGATCGCCTCCAGTTCCATCCTTGTACTGGCAAATGATTCAATTTCATTTTTTATTTATGGCAGAGTAATATCCCATTGTGCATATGTACCACATTTTCTTTATCCATTCATCTGTTGAAGGGCATCTAGGTTGGTTCCATAGCTTAGGTATTGGGGATTGAGCTGTTATGAGCATTGATATGGCTGTATCACTATAGTTTGCTGATTTGAAGTTCTTTGGGTATATGCTCAGGTGGAATTACTGGGTCACATGGTGGTTCCATTTCAAGTTTTCTTTCAGCAGAATTTTGAAAGATGAATAGATTTTATAAATGTAAAGAAAAATAAGAAGTGATCTCTAGGCAGAACAGCATAAAGCAAAGTGTGGAAGTGTGAAATGTCATGGTTTATGTTGCATCTGTAATGAAGTTAATTTGTACGTAAGTATGTCTGAGATGAGGAGTGGAGGGAACTAAGGACATGGAGTTAAACAGGGGCAAGCTCAAGGGGCCATTTATGCATAAGCTTTACCATGTTGCCATTAAACAACTTTGGGGTGGGTACAAGCGCAGAGTCATGAGGCTGAACAAAACAGATTTAAGAGTCAGATCATGAGTTTGGTCATTTAATAGGCTGAGTGTGAGGTACCTTTGAGAAATCCAAAAGGAGATGTAGAGAAAGCCATGTCCTTTGTGAGTCTGGAGCTTAAAGGAAGGTTTGGAGATAAGACTTTCAAAGCCATTGGAAGTGGTAACTGAAAATCGCAAGTGWGGATGAGATTGTCCAGGAAAAGAGTAGAGAATAAGATGACTTAAAAGTGGAGACAGAGGCACAGGCTATGAAATGTTTGGAGGTAAAATCTGTTGCACTGGTGATGAAATTGAGGAGGATGAAAGAAARGCTGGTTCCTAGAATGACTTCCAGATTCGACATGTGTGTGATCCAGTGAGTGGRGGTATGGGGACTAGTTGGCGATCGATGCTATTTGGGGATACTGAGTTAGAATAGTTTGTAGAATGCACAATTATTATGGCCATCGTACAGGGCATGTATTTCTGCATTCTCCCCTAGCTTCCTTCATTACATTACATTCCACATCCTACCCCAAATATATAGAAGGAATGAGGGAGTAWGCAGGGGATTGTTAACTTTTAGTGGGCAAATTGGGAAGGGAAGGAGTGGGAAAGTCCAAGGAGCATGGAATCCAGAGGGTCAATCCAGAGAGACAAGCATAAAGTGGGAGTGGTATAGACGAAAGGGCTAGAAAATGACAGAAAAGGATTGAAAATAACACCAAAATGATAGAAAGAAAGAGGAGTGGAACTGAAGATACTGATAAGTTGGGGACATCATTTCTAACTAGCCAGAACTTGAAAAGTGTGTTTGGATTAATAAGTAATGAGGTTTTTATTATACCRTCTCATTAGTTTACATTTATACCAAATATACAATGAGGGAAATTCCTTTGGTAACTCAAATTCTAGTTTTTTTTCCCTCCTCAGCAATTTAGTTATTCCCAGTTGAAAAAAAAAATATATGAATTTATGGAATAATTTCTCACACCATAGGTTTTGTCTTTTCTTGACCAGTGTTTATTGAGCTGTTCTCTGATGTGCTTCTTGCTATTATATTATGGTATTTGGGAATGCATCATATAGTATTCTAATGCCATTGACTGTGGATTTGATTTCTTAGCAGGAAGAGTTGGAAATGAAAGAAGAATTCCTAAAATAATTTATCCAAAAAACAATTCCATTGAAGTACAACTTGGTGAGTAAAATTATGGAAGTCATTGACATTACCGAGGGCTCAACTCACTATGTCCACATATTTTGTCTGGTGAATATTCTGAATTTCGATCGTGGTGACAAATCCCATACACATCCATTTTCTGGCTTTGGATATACCTGCTGATCAGGAGAGGCATCAAAATAAAAACAAACAGAGCTGGGGCTTGGGGAAGTTATAATATTGGAGTTCTTAGGGTCGGGGGATCACTGTAGTTCTAGATGGTTACTGTAAATCTGTTTGTGTAGAGGTGATGAAAATGTAAAGATAACTCTTGAAAAAGACAACACATAATATAAAACTACATAACATACATACAACATACAACACATAATATAAAACAAATATAAAACTACAACTAAATAATGTTGATTGGGAATTGTGGGCTTTATTATCTAATACTGGAAGAACATTAAGGTGGAAGTGATCATATTATATTCCTTCATTTTTATAGGATAGGAACAAAAAGATTGCTTCTCTATGTAGAGAAAAGGTGGTTCAAGTTATTCCTTAAAACATAAAGGAAGTCACTAGTAAAATTWAAAACAAAAAACCTTAAGTACTTTCTCAAAAAGAAAAAGCAAGTTAAAGTTTTCATTAAAACATAGGTGTTCAGATTGAATCAAATATTAAAATTTAATTAGAATTTTGTAAATTTAATAACATTCTCTTTTCAAAAGATACATATGGAAAACATGCAAGACCTAAAAGATGAAAAATAATTGCATAAGCAGGATACTTGCAGAAGTTAACATGAATGATCAACTTGCTTGACTTCAGTCTGATAATAACCTTTTAAGAATTCCTCCCCCCATGACAAATTGAATCACTTTATATTAATCAAAATTACAATATGTCCTAAAATTCAAACTTTTATGTATTAAACAGCAGTAAATCAAAATATATAAAGCTAAAAGTCTCAGAAATCTAAGGACAATACAATTAAGACAATATTATTGTTTTAATGGTAGTGGGAGATTTTAATATACTCAGATTTATTAGGCAAATAAGAATCTAAAACATTTCAGCAAAATCACATGCAAATGTATTTAATAGATCAATCTCATAAATATCTGTGAAAAATGCAGGGTCCCCAAAGAGGAAACTGCACAGACCACATGGTATAATCAAAATGCAGTAAGCCTAGAAAGTCATAACTAARATCAAAACAATGAAAAAACTCTCCCTCATTAAATATGTGATGATGGAAATTTAATTAGCTTGATTTGATTATTTCACATTGTTAACATATCAAAAATCACATTTTAATATTGTATTATAACATACAATTATTATTTGTCATTTAAAACCTTTAAAAATTTTTATAAAAGAGAAATTAACAAGAAACTCATTTCCTAATTATTTGTTTTCTTGGGTAGAGATTAAACCAAAGCTGGAGTTCAAGAGTATTTAGAAAATAATGACAGTGAGAATATATCATATTGAACTTCCTGGCTTGTGACCACTACTGTACTCTAAACAAGTTTGTATTTTTAAATATGATCATAATTAAGTGGAGAAATAATTAAAATACATAAATAACCATTTATCTCTCTAAAAAAAGAACAACTAAGGAAAAAAAGATAAAAGAAAATAACGAATATACTAAAAGAAAAAAAAAGTGGAATGATAAATCCCATAGTTGGTTCAGGGGTGGAAGAGTTGATGGGTGTCGGGTGGAAGGGAGGTAACCTTCCAAAAATCTCCTTCTCGAAATTCCATGAAACCTGAATAGAAGACTTGGGGATGCGAAGCTTATGAAACTATGAACAGAAAAGAGATGAAATCTGTTGAAAAGGTCCTAGGCCTTTATTTAGAAGTTCTTTTGAATTTTAAGGAACTATGGATGCCCACTATAGTRGATGCTTGGGTCTATGTATTCACTGCATGGATTCCCTTGGCGATCTCATAAACACCTAGAAGACAAGGTTGCCCGACTTCATTTCCCACTCCTGTCTCTGGAAATTCTAACTGACGTACTTAGCTAAAAAGCAGGAGTCTTTTAGGAGGAAGATAAATATATAATTGTTTTTAAGTGACCTATGAATATCTACTTAGAAAAAAAATGTTAATTATCTAAAATGCTATAAACACTATCAATTCTTCTGTAGGGGTTATTCCAATGCAAAAGAAACTTTCAAAGCCAGTATCATTTCACAGGCCTGAAATAATAGTATATTATCTTGATGTTAACATACTTTCTCTAGCCTTGTTGGTTATTTCAACAGGCCCTGKAAAGCCTATTTTCTCTTGGGACACAACTGCCACAGGTGATTATGTACGGGCAAACAGCTGTTGGGTAATCCCAGCATCTCCCRTCCCCAGAGCACCAGCATTTCCCTTCAAGAATATGTTTGGCATGTCATCTTCAAATGATTTGCATGATTAGGGTTATTTTCCCCACATCCATTGACATTTATTTCATGTAATTACTAAATTGAAATGGATTCTATTTTCTCTGGATCCATTTTTCATCCAACCATAAGAATTATAAAATTAGCAAATACCAGAATATCAGAGTTTCTATGCATAAAATCAGTGTGTGTGGGGGGAATCACAAGTTAAAAGATCGAACAATATGCAAATATCTCAAATGTTTTCTCCCATATGTGAAAGCTAGAGAGAGCGAGAAAAAAGAAGGAATTAATAAATAAAATTAAATAAAGGGGATCTCATGAAAATAGAAGGGAGACCCAGAGAGTAGAGGAAGGGGAGAGAGAGACAGGGAGGAGGGGAGGGGTGGAGAAGTTCTGGGGAATGAAATCTACTAAATTATGCTATGTCCTGTATGAATGTAACAAAATATATCCGGCATCTATACACATTTATATTTATATAATTATAATGCACTAATTAAAATAATAATAATAAAAATAATGGAGATCATGAGAATAGAGCAAGCAAATCAAGGGGAGGGAGGAGGAGAGGGAAAGGGAAGATACYAGAGGCTGAGATGGATCAAGTTATGTCATGTGCACATAGAAATATAGCATAATGAATCCATTAATATGTATAATTATAATGCACCAATAAAAATTTTAAAAATCATATAATATAAAATTCACCAATTTAAATAAATAAAGAGTGATATTTAAGGGRAAAAAAAAAGGATGAACCAGTTCTGGAAGTCTGATGGATGTATTTCTTAATTTGATCATAGTGAACATTATAATATATATATATATGTGCATACATACACACACTCTATATGTATATCAAGTGTTTCAGACTATGTACATTGAATATATATAAACTCCTTGTTCAATATTTGAAAGTTAAAAATTTGAAAAACAAAACAAAATACAAGTATCTGTATATAGAGAAAATAGTAAAGTTAAAAAGTAAAGGCAGAGGCTGTGGTTGTGACTCAGTGCTTGCCTAGCATGTGCGAGGCACCACATTAAATAAATAAAKAAAGAAAGAAAGGTATTGTGCCCATCTACAAATGAAAAAAAAATATTTTAAAAAATGTAAAGGGCAAAGTAGGAGAGAATGTTTGGAATAAAGATGACAGAAAATAGGTAATATCATTTATATACTTTGAAAAAAAAAACAGATCAAGAAAACTGCAGAATCTGAGTGAGGCCATAAATAATTCACAYAAGGGAAAAAAACCCAACAAAATATTAAAAATATTCATTTCCAATAAAAGAAGTGTACATTAAAGTCTATTCACCTATGAAATTGGCAAGGATTGAAAAGCACGTGATACCCTTTATCAGCAAGGGTACCATGAAGAGCGCGCTCCCCCGTTACTGATAATKAAGACGAGCCATCTCTTTAAAACAGGTGGAAACCCTCCAAAGGTTTCCCATCTCGCTCRCAAGAAGGTGCAAGTCCTCCCGGGGCCCAGCGTGGCATTTGGTGGCTGGCCTCTCCACGCCCCATGCTCAGGAGCTCTCGCCCTCACCCTGACCCTCCTCCTCCCAGCCTACCCCTCTGCTCCCACTGCTCCAACAGCCCAAGCACAGCTCCACCTCAGAGGTTCTGCTTGCTGTCCCTTCAGCTCCGAGGCTGTTCTCCAGACATCCAGGCCATTTGTCCCCTCGCCTCCATCAGACCTGTGGGGAGTCAGCTCCCCTGTCCACCTCGTTAGAGAGTCTCATGCAACCACCCCCTACCCTCCCAACCCTTTTCGTAAATTCACTTTTTACTCTCACATACTTTTAAAGTTTTCTTTAGTATCTCTGGCTCTGTTTGAGCTTAGGCTCCTGAAGAGAGCATGCTTCTTGTCTGTTCTCTTCCCTGCTGATTCACCCGGGCTCAAAACAGACGAGAATGTAGCAGATGCTCAAGAAATGGCTGTTAAATGGGAAATGAATGAACAGYTTACTTGCCAATATATATGTAGAACCGTTAGAAAAGTCTACATTTTGGGCCCAGTAATATATACCTGGATAAGGTATATACAATAGAAACAGTCAGGGGTTCAGATAGAGAAATATCAGATACGTATCTTAGAAAAAATTGTCTGTGATCTGTTTAAGGAAAGAAAAGACAGGATTGAAGTTTTCTAAAGAAAACTTGAAACGCAAAGTTATAGCAGATCAGATTTGAAAAAGAACAAATAAAATATTCAGAGCTTATCAGTACAATCCCCCCCCCCAAATAAAACTCAGTAAAGGTTTTAAAAGCATTTTAGACTTGTTTAAAAATGAGGATGACTAAGCTAAAATATAGGTGGGAAAAAATTTAGGATTAAGCATAGAGAGACAAAGGAATAGAAAATACAGATGTATTGTGAGTTCAAAGCCAGCCTCAGCAAAAGTGAGGTGCCAAGCAACTCAATGAGACCCTGTGTCTAAAGAAAATACAAAATAGGGCTGGGGATGTGGCTCAGTGTGTGCCACGGGGTTCAATCCCTGGTATCCCCTCTCCCCCACTCAAAAAAWAAWWAAWAAATAAAAGGAGAGAGAGAGACTGTGGAGGCAGAGGCAATGTTATATAGTCCCAGTTAGTGCTGAGAATGTTCCGAACTGATAGGAACACGAATCCAAAAGATTCTATAARCAAAAAATCCCAAGCAAGACCATAAAATTAAAACTACTACACCTGGAGAYACATAGCGAAATTGTGGAAAACCAAAAACAAAGAAAAAAAATCTTAAAAATAAGAAAGAAAGAAATAAAAAAAATCCCTTCTATGTACAGAAATAAGACTACTAATTGAAGTTTTAACAGGAATCATGGAAGCCGTGTGCTAAATAAAACAAAAACATTACTTTTTTTTTTTTTTTGTACTAGGGATTGAATCCAGGGGCACTCACTTAGCCACTGAGCCACATGCCCAGCCCTTTTTTAATATTTTATTTAGAGACCGGATCTCACTGAGTTGGTTAGAGCCTCACTAAGTYGCTGAGGCTGGCTTTGAACTTGAGATAATCCTGCCAGCTAAAATGTTAATTTTTATAGTGCAGAACCATCATGCACATGACAAGAAGGCAAAAACTGAAATAGACTGGGCACCCCAGCTACTGTTGAGCATGTGAAGTATAAGAAGGCCCCTGCCGAGGTGTGGAAAGCTAAGCTGTACCACTGTGTGAAGTTGGAGAGATGTGTGATCTATGATCTACCAGTACTGTAYGTGGAATGTCTGCTTGTGCCCCAAGGGACATGCACAAGGGAGTTCCTAGGCGGGCACCTCCACCAACCACTCACTAGGTGGAGGAGGGAGAATTGCAAGTTCTTAGGAAACTGTCTCAAAATAAAAATTTAAAGTGCTGGGGATGCAGCTCAGGGCTTGATCACCCCTGGTTTCAGTTCCCAATACTGGGGAAAAGGAAGGAGTTCCTAGGAGCCCTAGGCATACTAGACAAACACCAGAAATAATATGAACGGTATGCAGCCGTGGTAGGAGGAATAGATGAGGATTAGTGTATTCCATCCTCTCCGGCAGCATGGATGAGTCTCACCAGCAAAATGCTGAGCRGTAGAAACTGGTGCTCAGGGATGAACTTGCAAGTGATGAAATATGAAGTGGGGAAGGGGCCTGGGAGACTTCTGCGGCTCTGGAGTAAACTACCTTCCTGATGGAGTGAGGGTGGGGTGGATATTTGCTTTGTCATAATTCACTAACTGGATTCCATGGTTTTATCTCTGTGTTATATATAGTAACAATACATTTTTWAATGTTTTAGTCTTTTTAATGTATCTTCTCCCCGATTGAATGTCCTGTTCCTAGGACCTCCATGTGTCCTATTTCTGAAAGCCAAAAATAACTTCAGCCTTATCTTGTGTTTTCTTTTTCTTTTTTTTTTTTTACTTTTTAAACAATTTGTTCTGATTAGTTATACATGACATTAGAATGCACTTTGACATATCATACATAAATGAAGTATAACTTCTCATTCTTATGGTGATACGTGAATCACACCAGTCACATAGTCATATATGCACATAAGGTAATAATGTTTGATTCATTCTACGATCCTTCCTACCAGCCTGCCTCCTCCCTTCCCTTCACTCTCCTCTGCCTAATTCAAAGTACCTCTATTCTTCCCGACTGGTCCACCCTCCTCACGGTGACTTAGCATCTGCMTAGATCAGAGAAAACATTTGGCCTTTGGTTTGGGGGATTGGCTTCTTTCGMTTAGCATGATATTTGCCAGCTCCATCCATGACATTTTTAAAGTGCCACCTAGAATAAAGAACTGTCCTTCAAACTGCATGTACGATTTATGAGACTTCTGGACAAAGTAAAATGAAAACATGGATTTATTAAGCAAGATGTGTGAGTGTACGTGGAAGCAGGTAAGGGAGAGATGACAAAGGGYGTGGGCCCACATTTGTGGATGTAGACATGTGACTGGATTTGGAACCAGAAAACTGTGTTTGTCTCCTCTCTCCCTGTCCTTCACGTATGACCTTGGGCGAGTCAGTCAATCTGTCTGAAACTTCAATTTTCTCATCTCTCACACGGGGATAACTCTTCCCCTTTCTTCTGCCTTGTTGGATTGTTTACAAGATATGAAGACTGAGGGAGAAAATCCGTATACAATGCTTTGTAAACGGTAGAGCTCTCGGCTGCAGCTCGAGTACAAGTGGTCTTTGTGTCTCTGAAGTGYTGGCATTCGGCAGCATGTGCAACTCTCTTTACCATAGACACCCTGGAAGCCCACTCAAGCCTCCTGATCTCTGTCCGGGGGGAGAGAGCCGACTGACCCGGGGCTGGGGAAATTCTGGCACTCAAGATACTCAAATCTCAAAAGAAGATGCATTTGGGAATTAACCAATTGGAGTCACTGAAACCTGGTAAACTTTTCACTGARTATCTGTGAATTTGGTTGCTCTAGGCTCCACTCTCATTGTGGACTGCAACATAACAGAYTCGAAGGAGAACACCAACCTGCGCTGCTGGAGGGTCAACAATACTTTGGTGGACACCTACTACAGGGAATCCGAGCGCATCAGAGAGGGCATCGAGTAGGTGCTTTGTTCCTCTGGCTTCTCTAAAACCTAGCAAGACTACTATCTGCTGCTACTGCTACTGCTTACAGACAGCTCCCGCCACCTGCTCAGCCACCGCTTCTCTGGGCTTTGTCTTTTCAAGATTGCAGTGTGCTGTGTGGCCAAGCAGCTGGCTCAGAGAGGTGAGCCCGGCCTAAGGGGCTATGCAGCAAAACCTGAAGCGTGCGTGCCTCAGTAAAAGAATGTCCATTTCTCTCAACTGCTGCTTGAAACCAGCCTCTTCCTATTCAGTTACATCCTGAACCACTGGTCTTTGAGGATTAAATAGTAAAAACCAGAGCCAAGGCAGGAGTTGTTGGGGAGAGAGGACATAGTTCCCAGTGAACTGAGTATAAACTCAATGTCTGGAGGTCTGATTGGAGTGGTGTAAAATGGGCCCCGTGACCTCAGGGCAATAGAGCTTGTGCAGGGCCTAGAGGTGGAGCTGAGTTAGAGGAGCAGGGCTTTTGGGCGCAGAGATCATGTCTCTCACTAACAGAACCATACTTGCTTGCCACTATCCAGAAGAAAATGCAAATTTGGAACCACATAATCTATACACCTCATGGAGTCACTCAGTGAAGTATTCTTAGGGTAAAAAAAAAATTCTTAGGGTGAAAGTGTTCTTCAGGGGYGGGGAGAAAATACATAATTTGTCTCCAGAAAAAAACATTATGAATGATGTTGGGTTCATCTGACCCAAGCGTTATGCTCAACTGTTTTCTTTTATAGAACCAATGTTTCTTTTCCGGAACACATTTTCTACACGGTAAACATAACCTTCTTAGAAGTGAAAATGGAAGATTACGGACTTCCATTCATGTGTCATGCTGGAGTGTCCACAGCCTACTTCATGCTAACACACCCAGGTAAGGTCCAGTGTGTCACCCACTGCTCAGCATATGTTCAAAGTGCTGGGCAGGAAATGCATCTGACAGAGAAGGGGAAGTCACGTGTGCAATGGTGACACAGGGCGGTGGAATTGAGTAGAAAACCCAGGTGTGTCACCTGGGGAAGAATTGGTGCCTTCTCCTACTCTGCATGGAGTAAGGCTTCGATAAAGTAGCATCTTTGAAAATGCCACATTCATATATATTGATAATGTATGCATTAAAATTCCAGGAAACTTTGAGTTTTCCTTTACAAAACCTCATTGTTCAACTTGTATGACCATTTAGTTGCAATTTTCAGCTTTTAGATTGTTACAAATAATTTCCTATGCAAATAAAATGCTTATGCATATTTTCACCACATAACTTTRCAAACTTATATATGATTCTGATATTTGAGCAGACATGCTCCCCACTCAACAACTGTATAGAGCTTTTAAAGGATGCATTGGAGGTCTTAAAGCCAGAGAATAGAGAGTAATAATAGAGGGTGATATCAGAGCCTTGAGATCAACTAAGTTGATAACCTACAAGAGAAGTGTATGAGATACCTTGTAAAATGCTGTGTAGTTTACCAAGGCATTTTTCCTTGATTCTTTTAGTATAATCTCTCTCTCTCTCTCTCTCTCTCTCTCTCTCTCTCTCTCTCTCTGTGTGTGTGTGTGTGTGTGTATAACTCATATACAACAGAGAGCTTGAATGGCCAGTGTTCCTTAGTAATCAGTTAAACCTATGTTCTTATGCATCTAGCTAAAACCCTTCCGGAAGTGTTTTTCTAGAAGTTAACAGAAAGCACAGGGGTTGCTGTATGAAGCTAGCAGATGTGCATCTGCTTCTGCCAAGCTCCTGACATTTTGTGTGTCCACAGCCTTCCTTAGAATAGTGGGGAATAAGGATGTGTGCCCAGTGTCCTGCGGTTCTGGGTGTGCATTCTCTCCCTGGGCTGTGGCCAGGAGRCCAGAATCCCTCTGTCCCAGCTGTGTCTGCTCTGCGTGGGCACACAGCAGCTGCACACCTCTCCCTGGACCTGTGAGGAACCGCTGTGGTCACACCAGGAGGGAGGAGCCTGGAGCCTATCCGTCTCYGCTGCCCACTCTTCCTCTTCCCGTTGGCCTCTCATCAGGAGCCAGTTTCCACCACTTTCCTCCGGTGGGTCTTGTGCACCCATCTCTCTCTGTGGTCTCCTTCCTGAGGTCCTGTCCTAAGTGCTGACTTTCTCTCTGCACCCTCACCCCTGACAACCTCACTTTCTCTACGGCTTCGGAGCCAGCCCTGTGCAGGGACCAATGTCTTCCCCTGTGTCCTGCCTTCCCACCYGTGTGCTAGGCCACAGACACCTTGGCTGAAGTGTGAAAACACGCCGACCCTCTCAGACCTCCTGGTTCTCTGCCAAGGCCCAGTGAGTTGCCGAGTTCTATGGAGACTTCCTGTCCACTTCCACTGCTAACCTAGACGGGGAGTGTTTCCAACCCGGGACAGCAGGGTCCAGGTGTCCAGGGTCACAGGTCATGGCTTTACCATTTAGGAGTTGTGTGACCACAGTGTTGTCATGATCATAACGGGACCTTCCACGGAGGGTTGTGGTTGAGACTGATTTGGAATTTCGGTTTTTAGTTTTTTAATCGTGAAACATAACACACCTATGAGAAAGGACATATATGATTTACATATTACATAGCAAATAATCACATAGCAGATTCATGCCAAGCTACCACCTAGATTAAGAAAAACAACCAGACACACRTTACCAGACCCAAAGAGCCTCGGCATTTCCTTCCTGATCAAATCATCCTTTTCCTGCCTAGATAATTACTTCTCCAACTTTTAGGAAAGTCATTGCTCTTCTTTCCCATCTGTGTTGCTAGCCCTAAAAAGTACAGTTTAGTTTTGCCTGTTTTTGAGCTTTATAGGAAAAGGATTCTATAGTATGAATTCTTCCTATGACTTTCATTTCCTCGTAGGTGTCTGGGTTGTGTTGGTACCTCAGTGATGTAGATRTGGCTGTAGCTCATTCATTTTTCTTGCTGCGTCCTGTTCCTTTGAACAGCTAGATCATCATGCATCCACTTTACTATATATGCACATGGACATTTGAGTTGTTTCCAGTTTAGACTATTAGCCAATAATCCCACTGTGAAGCTTCCTGGATGTGTGTCCTGGTATGCATGCAGAATATCCTCTCTGCTACAGTTTTAGGAGTAGAGTTGCCTCATGAGAGTGTGTTATTGGCCTTTCTATATAATGTCACAGTGTTTTCCCATACGATTGGACCAATTCATACTCCTGTTGCTATCACAGTGCAGGAGAGAATCAAGAGATAATTTTGCAGAGTGACCACAGAGCCTGACATTTTAGTGAATTCTTAAAAAAAAAAATATGTTTGTTTGCATTACTACTATCCTGGTTCTGGTTGACTCTTATGGATTTGGATGATCATATTAATTTTATTAATGACTTCCTTGCTTTGAGAACTTTCTCGGGTCAACTTATCTCCTGGTGACTGTTGTAGAATTACCTTCTCCAAGGATGACTGGAACTCCACCACTCCCCTGCCTGGACATTAGTCCCACCTCCTTCCCTCTGGGATAAAAATGACCCTCCGTGGCTTGGCATTCTCAGCCCCCATCTACCTCTTCCCACTAACTTATTGGCTGTCTCCTTTGTCTGYCCTATGAAATAGATCACAGACAAAGGCAGGTCCTCTCTGGGCCTCATATTTTGAGAAAGGAGACGACTTTGAAGCCAGTGAGGGCGGAATTGCTTTTCAAGCGGTGAGCAGGGCAGAACCTGCAGAMTGGCTTAGGCCAGAGACAGGAACTCATGGTCAACCCCAGAGAAGARGGGAAGAAGAGAAGCCTTGGAGATACCACGAGACCTGAAGTTACCACTTAAATCTGCTTCAACCTAGAAGTTTGACTTCCTTGTTTAGTCACCTCACCTGAATCTGGCCAATACAGATTTCCATGCCAATCCTAAYCTGTCAGTCTCCTGAGWTGCTGGGATTATAGGCGTGCACCACTTCAATCAGCTGCATATTGTTTTGTTTGCCCTGAGTTCTTAGGAACCTCACCCTCTTAAATCCAGGCTTCTTGGTTTTCTTGGGGGCAAAGTCAAGGTTATAACTTCTCCATTGGACTTCCTTCTTTTTGCTGAGAACACCTCCAGATTTGAATCTTACCAGTTTGTCTGAAACAGAGTCACTAAAAAGTTGTTTAGATTATCTGTCCCTTCCATAAATTTTTTTGATCACTTGTCCTCACCGACCATTTAGACTTTGTCATATTTCAAAAACTTGACCTTCATGCTATTGGCAAATTTAAAGGCTGATGGTGGCCACAAGGACTCGAGTGACAAATACCATTTTTAACAGGGTTTCGGACATACCAGCAGTGAGTTTTCCATTTGCTCCTATTTCAAACTCCATACTCCCTTTGAACTTTCTCATTCCAGTGTCATCTTTCAGCACACTTGCAGAGCATAGAGCACCAACACACCTGAATGCAATGAATGACCAACTCAAGAATCCTGGGGTATCTCTCCTGCTACCTGACACAGGGGCTCTTTGAATCTGATAAATATTGGGGCCATCGTCACCCTATCATGGCTGCTTATCACACCAAGACCCCTGAGTTGTGCATTAGGTCTCCCTAGACACGGATTCTCTCAAAGGAAGAGGGGTGGTGTTGATTCAAGAAGGAGAAAGAAGGGCTGACATGGTTATAACGTGGGGTCAGGATGGGATTTGGCCCCAGTGCGTGGAGCATTTCCTCCTGGCTGCATTGGGACTTAATCAATATACATATATATATATATATATATATATTTTTTTTTTTTGGGGGGGGGAGCACCAAATGTGCTTTTTTATTTTAAACTAAATTATTTTTTAATATATATATATATATATTTTCAATTGTCAAAGGACTTTATTTAATTTATTTATATGTGGTGCTGAGAATCGAACTCAGTGCCTCATACACACCAGGCGAGCTCTCTACCTCGGAGCCATGACCCCAGCCCCYAAATGTGCTTTTTGTTATTGTACCTTATGGTGCCACGTATTTCAAGATCTGCAACAGGAAACAGAAAGTCTTGGGCYTCATGATGTTTACAACATGGTGTGGCCTAGGGGAGATGGTGATAAGCTCTTTAGTAAATCTTCTTTTTAAACGAAATCCCTCTGGGAGGGACCCTTCATCTTCMGGAGGATCAGGAAGGGGCTGTGAGGAAGTGGTTTGTGAGGTGGGTGGCAGGAATGGGAGGATTTCTCTTCCTCTCTCCCACTTCCTCTTTCCAAATTCCCTCTTTCCTAGAGGCTCCTTCTTTGGGGGCCCAGGTTTGGCTGTGGTGAGGTGGGATGCTGCTCTTCCTCTTTGTGTGTCTGTGTGTGGGGGGGTCGGGTGGGGGGCCTTGCTCCCTGGAGGTGGGCCCCAGAGGGACTGCTCCTTTCCTTGGCCAGCTCTGCCCAGGGCTTGTCCATCCCCATCCTTGCACAGGAAGCAGAGCAGAACTGGAACAGACTCTCAGAACCTGTCTCTCACCCAGGGCCCCAGCCTGGACTCCTGGCGCCCAGAGGCCTGGATGAGGGCTTCCTTCTCAGGCAGCAGCGATGGCTTCCGGGGAGACTCGGGAGTCATGCAGCTCMGTGATGGGGGAGCAATGTGATATAGGATCGTCATCGGGACGTGCCGTGGATCAAGACTGTGCAGTAAACACTGGGGAATGTTTCAAACAAACCGCTGGAGCGTCTGGTGCTGACCACCTAGAACCAGGACGTGCAGAGTTGGAAAGCAGCTGTCCTGCAGTGGGAACGAGAAGGAAGACTTCTGCAGTTTTCCTCTTCCTAGTGCCCAGAGCCCATTGGCTCCCTAAAATCCATGGCCCAGATCAGATTATTCTACTCCCATACCCGTTCTTTAAAGAAATAAGTAGGGTCCTCATTGATGTTGAGTACACTTTCCTTTGGAATTTGTACTATAATGTCCCTGAATAAAGAGTTTAATCAACTCTTTGGATTCTGATGATGTTGTTTTGCTGTCATCTGTAGCTCCAGATTTCCGCGCTTACCTGATAGGAGGGCTGATTGCTTTGGCCGTGGTGGTCACATCTGTTCTGTGCATCTACAATTACTTTAAGATCGACATTGTACTTTGGTATCGGAGTGCCTTCAGTTCCGAGAAGGCCAGAGAAGGTAAGTGTGTGTATATTCTCTGAGAAATGCTTAAAATCGGTATCTTGTCGTCAAATAGACTTTGTCGTATTTCACAAACTTGACTTTCATGCTATTGGCAAATTCAGAACTCCCTGGAACTCACAGTGCTTCAGAGAGATCTGTCCACGATCACCGGGATTTCTTGTCTCCGAGAGCAAAGTGCTGTCCTTCTGTGAAGTGTCCCCAGCACCATGGCAACTCGAGTACTGTTTATATTATGGGGAGTAGGAGCTGCCCTCTCTTAGGTCCAGGATGTGTTACCCAAAGGGGTTTCCRGGTCCAACTCTCAATGTTGAAGAGACATGGAGCTGAGTGTGAATTTGAGTTCCCYGTTTCCTTTCCTGCCAGAGCTATTTGACAAGAAGGTTCCTCAGGGTGACCCTCAAGGGGTGGTGTGGTTGTGACTCTGCACTCTCTCTCTCTTTCTCTGGTCTCAGAATGGATGTGACCTTGAAAAAAGTAGTAAATCTGCTTTAATGTTCTTTCGTTGCTTGGAAAAATTGGTACAAAGCCAAGAGGAGTCCGCACAGCTGGCGTGCGTAGGGATGTGCATACTTAAACCTTTCCAGTCCAGAGACTTGCAGAGCTGATCAGAGCATGTTTTTATAAGTAGCTAATGTGTAGAAGAGCACGGTTTACTCCAAGTGCCTGCTTTTCATATGAAAATTATGGTACAAGTTACTGTCCACTTACTGGATAAAATATAGATGTCCTAACCAGGACTAACTTCCAAGTTAAAAGTCAGGATTAAAAATTGGCACCACAGGGGCTGGGAGTGCAGTTCAGTGACAGAGCACTTGCTTAGTATGTGAGACCCTGGGCTCCRTTCCAAGTACCAAAAAGAGAAAAGAAAATAGAACAATGAGAAGCATCGGCAGACCCCGAGCAACGTAGAGAGCAGYAGGTGCCTGGTGGGTGATGAAGTGCCATGTTGAACTCTGGTCTTGTGTGCCAAACGCAGCATGTAGCTCTGTAGGGCTGCAGATGGATTGGGGGGGGGGTGTGTATCTGGCTTTGGCTGCRGTCAGCACAGAGTTTGCTCTAAGCRCTTGTGACTGTCATCCTTTTTGAGAAGAAGATGGGGTCCACTACCAACCACTTATTTCTTCTGACACAGATATGAGTGGTTCAGCTGCTTTCTGTCTTGACTAACAGGATCGCCTGGCTGACGTGGTCTTTCTGGAAGGTCTAGCTTTTCYGACTCCTTGGCATTTGTCTCTCTCTGACTCACTGGAACTCGCAGGAGCAGGATTGGCTGTGAATTATTGGTATGGAGCAGAGTGCCTGGTGAAGCTGACTGTCAGTGATTTGAGGTTAACAGGAAAAGAAAAAAAGGAATAGTGACTCATGCCAAGCAGACACGCAGAGCAGAGGAGACTCAGAGAGCCCCACCCACGGCCAAACCTGGCTGTCGCCCAGTTTCCCCACAACCAGTGAGTGGGCTGACAGGCAGCCAATGGTCCCTTTAATTTTTAATTCCRGAAAGAATGTGTGTGCTTTGTGATTAAATTGTCTACACCTCGCTACCTTGTAATACAAGTGTTGGCTTTCACAACGAGCTGGTGATAGACTCTGACGTTCACCCCGATCTCGTTTACGGCTTTGTTTCCCTGGAGGATATTTTCTAAGCCATCTGGGAACAAACAGAGTAATGGATGGCAGAGACAAGGGAGGGAGAGAGAAATGATGTCCTCTTACATAAGTAAAATAAGTCATCTACCCCAACTAGGTTCATCAAGCTGTGTGACATGGTGAATATAGGTGAGTCTAACTCGTGGTTTTCGTATGAGTCATTCTCAGGCCCGGCTGAAGTCAGAGAATTCTGTATATCCTCTGTCAAGCTCTTCTGGCAGGTGGGCATGTGTGCACAGGAATGGAGGGATTAGTTTACTAAGCTCCTGGAGGGATCGCACCTGCCTCCTCATACTCCAGGTAGGTGTGTGGAGAATGTGCATGGAGAGCAGAGGAACTAGAAAAAAAAACCAAAACAGATACAGTGAACAAAGGGTAGAAAGGTTAAATAAGCTGGAGGTAGAGCTAATGACAAGTCTTGGTTGTTAAGGCTGAATTTGTTTTCAAAGCTAAAGCAAAGGCAATTACAAGATTTATTAATATGCTGTTCACAAAAACCTTTCAATTGCTCATCATGAGAGAACATGGTGTTTTCTGGGACTCATTCCCAAGGGAGATTTTTTTTTGGGAATGTCCTCTGTTTAAAGGGTGTGATATAAAGAACCCTGTCTGCGACATTTCTGTGGTAAATGTATGACCATATTTTAGGTGTCTTTCCTTCTAGTGACTTCTCTTCATGCTGGAGCTGAATACCCCAAACCATTAAAGGCATTTAGATGAAGGTACATTGAACCTGTCCAATTTTTTTTTTCTTCTGCTCTGGGTTAATCAAGTCTAAAATTTAACAATATCAAATTGAGAGAAAAGTCAAGAATTGAATAGTTTTTAGGCAACCTTTCATAAATACTAGTTTATAAAAGTTAGATTTTTGTGTGTGTGTTTGGCAAACAATCAATAAGAGCACATGCACATACTTTAATATTGAAGATCAGGTTGAATCTCCTCAGAAAATGAAGGGCACTGGGCCAGGATGTGGATAAACTGTCACCTCCCCAGGATAGAGGGATGGCCCTGTGAGCGTCCACAGGGCTTATTGTCCTCAGAATGCTCCCCAGTAGGTCTGTGTGTCTGAAATGTTCTTGATGAAATAGGATGTGGTCAGCCCATGGTTATTTGCCGTTTCTTTAGCTATGGCTGGGAAACGAATTACCTCAAAATGTCCTGGTGTAAAATAGCCCTTCATTCTGCTTCTGGGTTCTGTGGACCAGGGATACGCACGACACAGTGGGGACAGCCCAGCTCAGTTCCAGTTGGACCACTGGCAACTGACTCTGGCTGATGGCTTCAGCCCCTCTGTGCAAGAGCCTCTTCAAGTCTTCTCTCTGTGTGTCACATTTGAGCTTCTTCAAGGAATGGTGGCTGTTTAACCGGGTGAGCATTTCAGGAGCAAGAGAACCCGGGARAAGTTGTGCTTTCTGGTATAATCAAGGCCTCCTGGATTTCTACTGCCAATTCCACTACCTCCTACTTTTTGAGGCAGCCATGGAGGCCTCCCTAATTTCAAAGAAGTGGAAATAGATTCCCCTCTTTTTAGGGGTGTGGCAACATTCTGAAAGAACAGGTAGGACCAGAAATGTGGCTGGGGCTGCCTTTGGAGAATACAGCCAGGCACAGTTGCACAAGATTGATTGGGAATAAGCTTTATGCCGTTCCCTGCATGATCTTTTAGTATACTGGTCAGTGAATTATGGATCGGTCCATCGAAAGTGATGAAAACACATTGCATTTTTTAAAACAAGGCAGCAAAGAGTATTTTTATTCAAAAGCATTAGTCAGAGGGCTAGGGATGAAGCTCTGTGGTGGATCATGTGCCTAGCAGGTGAGAAATGCTGGGTTCACTTCCTGGCACTGCAAAAAAGAAAAAAAAAACTTAGAAAGAAAAAAAAATGAACAAAAAAGTTGAACATTTTTATATTTTGAATTTTAAAAAGTTTTTGAAAGGTGAGTTCTTGCCACCCACATATCTTCTGGGTTTGTAGTGCAAGGTGAATGTATATCCTCAGATGGCTTGTTTAGAAACAGAATATCAAAGCGAGGACACTTAGCAAAAGTGGTTCATTTTTTTTGTTTGCTTGTTTGTTTTAAATTAGAGTCAGTGGGGGCGGGGAGGAGAAGCAGAATGAGAAGAGGGAGAATCCAGTGGCAGGCTCTGGGACAGAGTGGTGACGGAGCTGAGGGCTAGCTATAGCTAAGAGACCAGGGGAGCTATTCTCTGGGTTGAGCAAACCACCAACACAAACAACCCTCTTTCAGAGACAAAAGGATCAATATTACCAAATTTTCGAATGGGGAAATTTAATTCCTTCTTAAAATTTTGAAAAACATAAACATTTTACAAAATCTTTCTCTTTTTTTTTCCTTCATTTTTTCTCTCTTAATAAAAAATTTCTAGTTTCAGGAAGTTGAGTGTGGGACATTAAAGTTTATACAGAAAAATATCCACTATTTGCAATGCTGGTCTAGTCTGGAGACCTTTAAGATTTCACAGAAAGTTCAGTGGTGTTGGATTTTGGTCATCTCTAGACACAAATTTAATTGTTCCCTTAATGAATGTCCCATGATCCCATCCATTAAAAGGCTGAATCCACCCATGATCTAGAATCTCCCTGTCCAACAACATAGATGTAACCTGTCTAAGTCTTTGCAAAATGGAACTCCATTCAGACGTTCTCATCGATACTGATCGGGCACTCTTCTGAGCAGGGTCCTGCTCCTGGTGCTGAAGGTAGAGCAGGGAGCCAGAGTCCCCAATATCACCCAGCGTCCTTCATGGCAGAGGGTGGGGAGAAGTGCATGCACGTGCAAGCATGGTACAAYTGCATCATGTGCATGTATGTGTATGACGGCATGTGCCTGAGCATGTGTTTGCAGGAGCATGCACAGATGTGTGTGTACACGTGCCTTGTCATTCTCCACAGGATGGCCAAKATTGGTGACCCTCTCCTGGCGACCGGCAGTGTTGGTATGGGAATTGATGGAACAAGAGAAGGCAACATGCCACCCAGAATAGTATGCATTTTATCTACTGTCAAAATAGACTTTTTAATGACTGTTACACAGAAACTAGAGATTTTGATTCCACTTGTTAATTTCTGAACCACACCTTTCTCCAGGTCTGTTCATCCAACTCCCCTAAAAAGAGAAAAGACAAGAATGGCTGTCCCCCTGGTACCCATTARGTTGGCTCTGAATTTCCAAAACCTGAAGCTTGAAATCACCTATTCCAATGAGATGCCCACAGCTGGGTGTAACCGGCTCTTCTTCCACTCACACCCTCTACCCCAGTGTCATTCCCAGGATTCCTGAACAGGCCATCAATGTTCCCCGTCCCACACTCGTCTGAAGCTGCTCCCCTTTGTGCCTGTTGACCCTGCACTCTCAGACCCTCATTTCTTTAAAACCCTCTCTGTTGCATGTCCTTTGCAATTTTTATTAAGAGCTCCAGAGGATGGGGACTTTCCTTTCTTTCTGGTTCTTCTGTTCACTTAGCTGTCGTCATCTTGTAGTGCCTCGGGTTGTTTTACTTCTGTGTATGTGAATGGTCTGCCCAGTTATGTCCTGTGTCTAGTTCCTCTTTGCCCTGAGCGGAGGGACTGTTCTGCTCTCAGTGAATTCTTGCTCATTCTCATGATGGTGATGTGGGCTGTTGCATGGACTTCTCGGCCCTGCAAGGCACAGTCACAGTCCACTCAAAGGCTCGTTCTCTCACTGCAATGCCAGCCTGCAAAACTGAACTGACSGAATTTACTGGTGGGTCTAAATCAAGAGGGACTGGGCTCACTTTCCCTGGTGAAGCATGCACTGAGGATGATGTTGGTAGAATCTCAGTCTCTTCTTGTTTTGGGCCCCATTTAAAGGCAGCGGCGTCCATAAAATCAGAGGCCTTGGGCTGGATTGAGGAATTGCAGAATGAAGTCAGTGTTCTGCTTCAGCTTCATCCTCATGCAGTGGGGATGGGTTGGTGTCCCATTCTCAAATAGTAGGGCTACAGTGGCCTGTGAGGGCCAAGTTGGTGGCTGGACACACAGAAGTCATTGAACCCAAGGACAGAGGGCTTCATGGCAGCAGCTCAGGTGTTCGCCTTGTCCACCGAAGGGGATTCAGTAGGAATCACTGTGTGAGTGGCTCCCATTTCCTTTTCAGATGGGAAGCTGTATGATGCATACGTCTTGTACCCCAAGCCTCAAAAAGAAAGCCAGAGGCACGATGTGGACACTCTGGTGCTGAAGCTGCTGCCCGAGGTGCTGGAGAGACAGTGCAGATACAAGTTGTTCATATTCGGCAGGGACGAATTCCCCGGACAAGGTGCGTTTCAAGTGAGGTACCCAATAGTAAATGAAAAACGGGAAGGAGATCCCTGTCTGCCTCCATGTTGCATACAAATGGCACACTCTGCTCCCCTTGCCCTGAGAGCGCTGGGAAGGCCGAGACTGGAGCTCAGGCAGGTGGAWCAAGCTGCCGTCTCTCATCAGGCCCATCAAGATGCCCCTGTCTGGGATTCTGGTTGCAGTCCTGCAAGCCCGTCTTTGGAGTGAGGATGTAGCTTACCTGTTCATGTGAACAGGTAGCCAGGAACACAGCTTTGGTTCAAACACTGAAGGAAGAAAACGATCATTTGACCTCCTGTAATTGAGTCTATCTACTGAATTCCCCAATGGGTTTAAATATACAAGTCAGGTAATGTTAAAGCTGATTTATGAAGCTCAACTCCACAGGCTCCTTCTCTATCCAAAAGAAGTGGAAGTTTTTAATAGACTTCTCCCATTTCATTTTGGCATGAGGTTTGGGGCAATTCATTCAGTATCTGAACCTCGCTTGTCTCATCTGTAAAATGGGCATAGGGATGCTTCTTTAACACCGCTACGAGAACTAACCTGAGTGGGGTCCAGTAGGGAGCTTAGGACAGCGTCAACATTTGACACGGAAGTTCCCTCTCATCTCCTTTGTTCTCCTTTGAGGGCTCTGCAGCAAAATGTCTATGATCTAAAATCCTTTTTTATTTTTTGGTACCAGGGATTGAACTCCCCAGCACTCAACTACTGAGCCACATCTCCAGCTCTATATTCATGTTTAATTTAGAGACAGGGTCTCACTGAGTTGCTTAGTGCCTTGCTTTTGCTGAGGCTGGCTTTGAATTCATGATCCTCCTGTTTCAACCTCTCGAGCTGCTGGGATGACAGGCGTGTGCCATTGCGCCTGGCTGTTTTTTACTCACTAGGAAATACATTTGCTCACTAATGGAGCAGTTGATCACGGAGTTCTTCCATACACTGTGTACTTGTCCAGACACTAGAAACCCAAAGAACCGGTCCTCGGGGAGGTGACAGTCTACTCTTACATCCCCTTGGAGGCAACTGCCCACCAAATATCTGCAGAGCCAGGCTCCCCGCCTCCCCACCCTGGCCCCAGCCCCACAAGCCATCATCAGTGGGTGTTATTTGGTTTCTAAATTAGTCACATAAATTCTGGTTATTTAAATAGCTGTAAAGAACAAAAGGAAAATACAAATGTTAGACTAACACAACATTTGAACTAACTACGTTTTTCCTGTCCTTCTAAAATTTATTTTACAAATCTGTTCATTCTGTAATAGATAACAGACCTTCAGCAACTGGGGGGATACAAAGCTAGGCATGATAAATACTTGTTAGCTAGGGAAACTGACATAACAACAGACTTCCCCAAACAAAACCAAACACAAGTCATGAGAGAGCCAGGAAGGCTTCAAGTTTTATGAATCCATTCCTGCCCAGATCCGGTTGATTTTAAAGGCCATTTCCTCTCCGCAGTGACCCTTTCTAATGTGCTCCGTAGCATTACCACCCAGGCTGTTTTGATCTTGAGCTCTTCTGAGTCTTCAATTCTTTGTTTCCAGCTGTGGCCCATGTCATTGATGAAAACATTAAGCTGTGCAGGAGGCTGATCCTCATYATAGTCCCCGAGTCGCCCAGCTTTGGTCTGCTAAAGAACATGTCAGAAGAACAAATTGCCGTCTACAACGCCCTCATCCAGCTTGGGATGAAGGTCATTCTGATTGAACTGGAGAAGATTGAGGACTACACCACCATGCCAGAGTCGATTCAGTACATGAGGCAGAAGCACGGGGCCATCCCGTGGAGGGGGGACCTCACAGAGTCATCTCAATGTGCCAAGACCAAGTTCTGGAAAAGAGTGAGGTACCACATGCCGCCCAAAAGGTTCCCGCCTTCCTCCAGTCCAGCGGCTGAAGCCCGTACCCTGCAATTTCCCAGCCGGCAAATGGAGACCAAGATGGGGCTCATCAGCCGCTGACGGAGAATTGTCCCCTCTTGGTATCTCGTGGCTGGCCAAGGATGCATTTCATTTGGGCTGTCTGCCCCAAAGCTTGCTCTTTTGTACTGCTTGGTTGGTTTGTTTTGATCAGACTTAGTTTTTTAGGGAAAGACATCACATCTCCTGATGGGCTGTTAACTCAACGGGTCCTGGAGACTGGTGAGCTCTCACTGAGCAAGGGATGGATGTGGCATGGCGGCCCCAGGGGAATGAGCTACAGAGGTCTGTCAAGTGGACATACAGAGTCTGAAAGCTTGACTGTGAGTTCTGAACTTGGAGCTGGGGTAGCCTAGGGATGGCGGGAGGGGAGCCAGTGACTTGAGGAAGACTGGCCAGAACCACACTTTGTTTCTGCCCACCCAGTGTCCCCAGGGCTCTGCTCCTCAGCAGTATCTGAGGTGCTGGAATCCCCCTTCCTCGCTCCTCCAGGGCAGGCAAACAGTGTCACCACAGTTTTGGCCTGGTGTCCCTGGAAGCTACTTTGCGGTCAGCTAGAACAGTGGGAGACCCCCAGGGGTACTGCTATGAGTGTCCTGTGGTCACCCACCCAGGGGACCCYGTCCTTTGAAAGACTTTACCTGCCAAACCAAAATAAGTAAGATTTTTTTTTTTAAACCAGAGAATGAACCCTGGGGGCAGTTAACCACGGAGCCACATCTCCAGCCAGCCCTWATTGGTTTTATTTTGAGACAGGGTCTYMCTAAGTTGCTGAGGCTGTCTTTGAACTTGTGATCCTCTGCCTCAGCCTCCTGAGCTGCTGGGATTATAGATGTGTGTCTTCATGCCTAGCAAGGAGTAAGAATTTTTTTTTTTTTTTTTGATTTTTCCTTTTGGACGCAGGAGGTGGAGTCATTCTGGTCTGAGGAAAGCAACATGTGYTTTCCCTTAGTGAGTGCGCCCTTCTCAAAGGTTAGTTTATGATTTAACAATTTGCCAACGGTTTTTAATACTAAGAATTAGCTGCCAGGCCTCTTCGCTACTTTGCAAAACCTAACTTGAGGACATGAGTTACAGTGGAACCCTCTCCAGCCATGTTTGATGATCCCAAGATTTAAACAGCAGCCCGTGTTAAGGAAGAGCTATCCAGGGCTGGAAGTGAGTCAGCCCAGGGACAGGAGGCCAGGCCCAGCCACAGTGGTCCCACGTGGAAGGAGGACAGGGTGGCCAGGAGGCAGCAGGGTCCTGCAGGCCTGTGCCCCAGAGCCCTCTCCATTCTTTGAATTGACATTTCAAGGTGACTTAGCACCCAGCCCTCATTCAGTATGGTTATTTAACACCTGCTTCTAAAAAAGTTTAATTGTGGCAAAAACAGATGAACCTAAAAACTGACCATCCTAGTTATTTTTAAGTGGACATTTCAGTGGCATCAAGCACATGCCCACTGGCTGTGAGGCTGTCACCACCACTCACCTCGGAGCCTCTCCATCTTTGCAGACTGAAACAGTGTGCCCAACAAATAAGCACCACCCCCAGACCCTGGCAACCGCCAGTCTTCTCTGGTCTGTGAGTCTGACCTCACGGAGGTGCAGTGGAGCAGTCTGCATCTGCCTGTGGCGGGTTAATTTCKCCGAGCCGAGCGCCCTCCAGGTTCGTCCTGTTCTTACACAGCGCCCCCTGTCGCCTTTCCTCCTTTCAACATGTTTTCTGCCTRGTGGGGAGAGTGAGGCTCTACTTCTGGAAAGTCCTCAAAAGCAAGAAGCTAATCAAGGGACCTTCTCATCAGATGCTTGTCATTTCTTTCTTTCTTGACCCCATTGACATGAGAATTCCTCATGGAGGATTTGAAGTACAATAGGGTTCCTCTTGCACCTGTTCCCCATTCCATCCCCTCACCGTCCAGGTCTTGGTCTGTCCTGGAGGTCTGTCCTCCAATGCTGGAGAAGCTGGGGACTGCAGGCTGGCTGAGGGCAGCTCSTAGGACAGTGCCTGGCTTGGAACCTGGCCACACCAGCCAGCCAGCTTGGAGCAGGGGCCACTCATCGCAGGGAGCAGAAAATCTGGACTCCCGTCGGGGAGTGGTCACCAGCTCACGCTTGTAGAGAATCTGGGGAATCCCCCTTGTTCTGATTTGGAACTCCCCTGTCCTTCCCAGTCATTTCCTCCAAAAGAGGCAGGAAAGCAGATGCAGGGTCCTTTTCAGGAAGTAGGGGACAGATTGGGGTGTGTCCTCTCTAAGGGGCTCCTAGTATGCCTGTGAATTTCAGGAAATGAATTCTCCAGTGACTACTTATTTATTCTGATGGCATTCACTGGACCTCAGTTGAGACTGGTTGTAGAAAAGAACCAATTCAATTCCAGAACTTTACTTTTAGGTCAAAAATCCACCCCTCCCCCACCCCATATGGGTTTGAAGTTTCTTTCTGTTTAAAAGTATTCAAGATGTATTATTAATTCAAGCTGTAATAACCTTAATGGATGACACTAGCATATTTTAATATTACTTTTATTAAAATATATTTTGTGTCTTATGTGAAAACTCTCTTTCTCAAAAAGACGACATCTCACATGTTTGAACGCTGGGCAGGGTTCTCCAGGWGGAATGATTTCATTGCTGTGCTCAGAGATTTGCAAAAATGGACACATGTTTTAAAATATTTTAAAGATTAGTAAGGGTTCCCCGTAGCAGTGATAATTTGATATAGGCCATGGGTATCTCTCTGTTAAACAAACCATTTTGGCTACATTTTTGGAAGTTTGGCTGACGTGTTTTCAAGCTCTTCAGCGGAAACTTCTAGTGAGTCAATAGACCTGGATGTGGGATAAAGATGCTTGTGTTAGCCTTTTGTTTTGTGTTTGTTTCTATATTTATAAGACCTGATCTCAGAATTTTTGAGGACTTTATCTAGAGGGTCAGTGATTAGCAACGTGGGTGAACGAGTTCAATCTAAATATTCTTTGAGAAGAAACTCAGCCTGACAATTTCAGTGGTACTTGATCTAGCCCAGAGGCACACATGCATCACAGGTCTCCGGAGCTGCGGCATCCTGTCATCTACAGGGGACACAGTGTGAGATCCCAGTGGATGCCTGAAGCTCCAGATGGTACTGAACCCAGTATGCACCATGTTTGTTTCCTATAAAAACTACTCAAGATAAAGGTGAATGTGTAAATTAGACATAGTAAGAGATTAACAATGATAACTACTAATACAATAGAGCAATTGTAACAATATACTGCAATAAACATTCAGTAAATGTGGTCTCTCTCTCTCTCTCTCTCTCTCTCTCTCTCTCTCTCTCTCTCTCTCTCTCTCCCATGAAACATCTCATATGCTGGACACTCTGCTTCCTGAGTGGATGTGAGATGGCACAAAGCTTGGGTGGACCAGGAATAGCTGGAACCTTGGGGAGTGAGACCCCCAGATAAGGGGGCTACTGTATTTCTTCCTGGTGTGTCTGGAGTCTTAGGCCTTTCCTGGTCAGCCAGTGTGCCTTCTTCACTTCTGTGTGGGCTGTGACGGGAACAAGGTTACCCTGGGGGAGACTAAGGCCCTGAGGAATTGAAGTGACTCACTGAAGCCTCTAGTAATCTGAGATGGAGAGGGACAGGTGTCTTGTGTTGAGAGCCACAGCCGAAGGGGCCCCAGTAAACTTCCAGCTGATTGGCTCGCAGCGGCCCCAGCAAACTTCCAGCTGCCAGCTGATTGGCTCCTCTGCGGTGATGCTCATTGGGCTGTTTCCCCGCCCTTTCAGACCACGGAGCTGCTCATTGGGGGACTCTTTTGGCTCCGCCCACACGACCCAGCCAATCGGCCTCAAGAGCAGGAGGAGTGGGGGGAGGGGGTTGAGAGGCTTGTGGGAAGCCAGTGGTGGCAGTTGGGCTCTGAGGGAATTCCTGAAGAGCTCCTGTGGTGCTGCCTGTGTGTTCTAAAAATAAAGTTCGTTTCTGCTTGACAAGTGGCTTCTGAATTGTGCCCAGCCAGGCTGCCGCAGACTTGGTCTTCTAAGTCGTGCTTTGATTTATATGAGCCCCCCACCCCTAGCAGGATGCATTGGCGTTAACTAATGTCCATCTCTAGACTAGAGAGTCCACTGCCTCCTAGGAATCTGGAACCTGGAGGTTGTGTGCTTGGTGATTTTAAGAGGAAAGGGGACTTAAGTTTGGAACTCACCATCTCCACACTACACCTGTGCAGCCCTTCAGAAGCTGATCAGCCTCTCCGAGTTCCTTCATTTTTGTGGTGGCGCGAGTCAAGTCGGATGAGATCTGAAGTTCGGCATGGGCTTTATATGTAGTRGTCATTTATATGCAACTTGGACACACTTGAAAGAACTCTGCCACCCRTGCTATTTGGAGAAAAGCTTTCATTACAGAGAAAAGCATCAGTAGACATTGAGTGTTTTGCAGAAGGCAGCTTATGGTGTGGGGGAAATCCTCATCTACTACTCAAAGTCAGACAGAAAAAGCCCATGAAGACAGGRTGCTCTCTATCTGGATCTATGGGACCTGCAGCTGTGCTGTACKGTGAGGGCTCAGCYGGAGGAGCTGTCCAGGCCACCCCCGCTTCACCTGCTGGTGGCTTTCTGTCCTGTTTACWCAAGGACCCCAGTCTTTCCTGATTGCCCTGGATATTCGAGAGACTTTTTTCCTGATGGAACCTCTGATATTGTCCTTACTACTTGGTCTTGATTGGAGGGACTTAAGGAGTTTTGAAGGCCAGTCTTGGGAGGCAGATGCTAAATACTGCTGAAAGCCAGGACTAATTTTCAGTAGCGACCACTCGGCCAGGTAGTAACCCAGGCCAAGGAGCATTTGGAGGAAGAACCTTCAATAGGCATCTGCTGTTGACAGTGCCATCCCTAGCTTGGGCCACCCAAGGACTAGGCTGGAGTAGAGAGTACAGGGTCACCCCTGCCCCAGCCTTAAAGTCAGTCCCACCAACTCAGACCATCACCAGTTGTTCCTTGGGCCTTCAGCAGCATGATTCCAAACGAGATTTGCAGGTGTTAAGGTCCTGGAGGTGTTCACTTCTTWCCATCATTTGATACCAGCACAAGTTTAATGAAACTTGCCAATTTTCCTTGAAGACCCTGCTTCACTCTAGAATTTCTGAAGCAGTTCAGGGGCACCCTTTGTTTGGGGTGGTGGTCGTTGAGAAGAACCTGGGGTAGCATTTGTGTAGTAATCTTCTCTAATCGGCAGTTTTACTTTTCTGTTTCAGTTACCCGTGGTCAACTGCCATCTGAAAATACTAAATGGAAAAATCTCAGAAGTAAAGTGTGCATAAGTTTTTAAACTGTATGCCATTCTGAGTAGTGTAATGAAATCTTACATGGCCCCATCCACCAAGCATCCCTTTGTGCAGTGTATCTGTGCTGTATATGCTACCCACCAGTTAATAGCCATCTGAGTTAGCAGATCTGTTGTTATATCACAGTGATTCTGTTCAAGCAATCTTTATTTTACTTTATAATAACCCCTAAGTGATATTGTTAAGCAATTTGGATATGCTGACGAGAAGTGGTAAAGCACTTTCTTTAAATACCTTCTCATGTCATCACAAAAAGGGTAAGTAGAGTACAATAAGATCTTTGAGAGAGAAATAAAAATCTCCTGTGGTTAAAGGAGTTGGGTGGGGGATCTTTATAGAGCCATATCAAAGACGGCTGAATCTCAATGGAAATTTGGGGGRAGAGGTGCTGGAATTCCTCTCACTCAACCACGAAACTCAGTCAATTTTATCCACTCTTTTGTAGGGGTTCTTTAACCTTTGTCTCAACTGAACATGTAATCAAGCTGCTAACAATCAAGATCATACCTTATACCRGGTATCTGCCATTTTGAATCCTCAACAGTTCTGCTGTTTCCCATTTCGTTATCACCAGCTGGGGCACTTGTATTTTTTAAATTCCCGTGAACTTTTAACACTGTAGAAGGGATCCAATACAGCTAAAAGAAAAATAAGTGAATTAGCCTGGCCTCATTACTGGTTGGTAGGTAATGGCTCAAAATACCCAAAAGCCAGTTGATGGTCTTTGTCTAAATTTGCATAGGTAGGAAGGGTTAGGTGGCCAGCCACGAGTGCAGMAAAACACAGGTTGTCTGAGAACTGAAGACCACCATTGATTTTCTCCTGTGTAACCATCTGGGCCTGGGGCASAGATGCACTTCTACAGGGTCTTCCCTCCTTCTTGGAAGTGAAGCCTAGCCCTGCTGGGACAACCTGAGGGGCGGGAGCTGACCTGAGCATGGAGCTGCCAAAGGTGACCAGGTGAGAGAGAAGGTGACTACAGGTGCTGAGTCCCTAGGTTCCCTGTAATGACTGAGTGGTCAATAAGGCCCACTTTGTTTGGGCCTTTCCCCTTCTGCCTCGGAGGCTTAGGAGAGACTGAGTCACATGCCGTGAAGGGTCTGGGCAGGTATGGTCTTTCCTCAGAAGCCGAACTGAGCTGACGATGTGCATGTGCGGGTGCTTGACAGACTGTTGGACTCATCTGGGGAATGGGGAAATGGGGGTGGGAGGGCTTGGCCTCCGTGCTTTCTATTCCTGTGGGGACCCTGCCGTGACTCATACGGCTTCCTGTTGTGTCAGAGTTGACCTTTCCTCAGCTTGCTCCTGCCTCCTGTTACAAACTCTCTTTCAGCACATGCTTGTTGGGTTGATTGATCCAGGGCGTGTGTTTGGAAAATGAAGAAGGTGGAAAATTCCTCTCTGGTTTCCCTCTTAGAACGGGGGCTCTTCTACACATGACCAACCTCCGCAGAGCAGACTGAACTTCTGGGTCCACTCTGCCTCTAAGAGCTGCAGACCCTTGGGTCTGAATTGCTGGAGGCCTCACAGCTCAAGTGGAACTATTCTGGGGCCCCTGAGAGCTGGGGACTCTAGTGTACACATGGCTATGCTCACCCATACCCAGGGAGCTTCGGGGGATGCCACCTTTCCTTAAATACAATTAAACCCTGCTCTCCCAAGTGATCCAAGGCAGAGATTCCCCACTAGGGAAGGACTCACCTTTCCTCTGAKCTCCTACTGGCTGCTGCTCACCTTTGAGGCCTCACCGCCCTTGAACCCATAACACCAGAGCAATGAAACCACAGG